CAGGGCTGCGGAGTCGGAGACGGAGTCGGAGTCGGTCGGAGTCGACAGATCTGCCCGGAGTCGAGTTGGTGTCGGAGTCGATTTTGGAAACCGGATCCGGAGTCGGAGTTGGAGTCACCGAAAATCAATCGACTCCGCAGACCTGGCAGTGCTGCGGAGTCGGAGTCGGTAGTTGGAGTCGGTCGGAGTCGACAGTTCTGCGCGGAGTCGGAGTCGGGGTCGGAGCTGGTTTTTGAAAGTCGGAGTCGGAGTCGGAGTCGGAGTCGCCGAAAATCCATCGACTCCGCAACCCGGTTCAGTACACTCGAATTGATGAATTTTACACCTTCTCTGAAAGTTTTATGACTCTGACCCAAATAACCTTTGACCTGTGACCTATTTCTCGAGGTCATGTTTAGCCGGAATCGCGAATTGCGTATGTCAGCTCACAATATCCGCGCGTTTTTTGTTCTTTTGTGGTTGTAAACGACAAACGTTCAAAAAATGTGAAAGATGTTGGTCCCGTGCATTATGGAGCGTGTCAAGGTCACCTGAAGGTCAGGTCAGGTCATTGACCTTTGATGACCTCGGTTCACTTTTCGAACTTCATACATGTTTCTATAGGCTAGGCTTGGCTAGTTTTTGGAGCTGAATTCGAATTCAGCAGCCATTTGAACATTTACGAAATAGTTATGGTGCCTTCAGCCTTCGTAACATGTTACGAAGCTATCGGAGGCGGTTGACACCTACTATGAATACCCGGCAGGACCCCAACTGGTTGACCTGACCTGACCTGACCCCCCGACGTGGCCTCAATGCATGAATGATGAAGGCATCATCTGTGATCAAAACTCACATGATATTCGTGATCGAACCTCGAAAAAAACATGGCAGCCACACTTAACGAATTATTCTAACAGGTTTCGATTTTCCAGACTTTTGGGTCATTGACCTGATCCCTATAGGTCAACCAATGACCTAGGACCTTAAAATTGGGTATCATCGGCTTCCTTTCGTCACGGGCACTGGGCAGCACGCTCGTTTTTTCCGCCAAGCTCTAGCTCGATAAGGGCCAAGCAGCAAGCGGGCAGGGCGGGAGGGGGGGGGGGGTCCCCCCTTATACGTTCGCAGCTGGCAAAACACTGATACGGGGAGGCGCCCCACGGGGGGGGGGCAGAATCTGCCCTCCCTTCCCGTTTTTCGCCAATAACTTCTAAACGCGTTACGCCAGTAACATCAAACTTTCAGTGCCTTATACATCAATTTAACAACTTCCCTGAAAATTTGAGCGAAATCTGTAGGAAAATGTTTGAGAAAATGACGTTTTAAGTGACGTCATGTCACGCCATTTTTGCTTCAAAAACTGCAAAACTTTAACCCTCGCCGGCACAGGGGAGTTAATGCAACCCCCCCTAAGGTTTTTCGCGAATAACTCGCGTAAAAAGCGGCGGATCGCGACGAAACTTTCAGCACCCTCGCATTGATCAATTTTACACGTTCCCTGAAAATTTAATGACCCTGACCCCAATGACCTTTGACCTGTGACCTCTTTTCCGTGACCATGTTTGGCCGAAATCGCGATTCGGCGTATGTCGGCACGCATTAACCGCGCGTTTGCAAGCTTTTCGTGGTTTCAAACGTTCAAACATGTGATTTGATGTTGCTCCCATACGTTGGGGTGGGTGTCAAGGTCACCTGAAGGTCAGGTCAGGTCATTGACCTTTGGTGACCTCGGGTGACCTCGGTTCACTTTTTCGAGTTTTACATGTTTCTAGGCTAGTTTTTGGAGCTGAATTCGAATTTAGCAACCATTTGAACATTTACGAAGTAGTTTTGGTGCTTTCGTAACATGTTACGAAGCTGCCAGTGGCGGTTGACACGCATTACGAATACCCGTCACAACCCCTACCGGTTGACCTGACCTGACCTGACCCGACCTGGTCTAAATGCTTAAAAACATCATCTCTGATCAAAACTAACACGATATTCGTGATCAGCACCCCGGAAAACCACATAGCAGCCACACTTTACGACATTCTAACAGGTCCCGATTTTCCCGGTTTTCGGGTCATTGACCTGACCTGGAAGGTCACCCGATGACCTAGGACCTTAAATTGGGTATCATCGGCTTCCTCTCAAGACGGGCAACACGCTCGTTTTTTCCGCGAAGCTCTAGCTCGATCAGGGGTCAAACGCGAGGGGGGGGGGTCGTACCAGCCCCCCCCCCTTGTGCCGTCGAAGGACGCAAAATGGCCTGTGCCGGCGAGGGTTAAACGCCGCTAACATCTTCATTTTTAAAGGAATCAAGACGTAACGACGTAACAAAAAGGTTATACGTGATTCTACTTTGTCTATCAAATGGCTATCTCGTTTTTTCTCAAAATTTTGGATTTTGGTCCATTTTTTTTGTTAAAAAAACTGACTTTTTGGGGATATTCAACAAAAAATCCAAAATTTTGTGTTCATCGAAAAACCGGAATATATGTTAAAGAAGTGGTATATGTGCCAATTTTGAGAAGAATCGGTTCAAAAACGTGAGCGCTATAAATATACAAACTTTTATGACGTCACTCACGACACACAAAATTTTCGCAAAATGTTTTTTTGAACTTCTAGACCTCATACGGAAACAAAAATAGCACCATTCGATTCGCCGTGAGAAACTGCATCAGATAGACACCTTTTAGGTCTTAACAATAAACTTGACCTCACTTGACCTGACCTTGACCTGGCCTCGACCTGAAATTCATCCAGATGTGGTCCATATCACTAATTGAGTGCGCCCATTGAATTATCCCGCGCCCCGTAGGGGGGGGGGGGCCGAAACGGCCCCCCCTGTCCTTTTCGGTCGATATCTCCTAAACGGCTGGAGATATCGCCATCAAACTTTCAGGACCCCTCCGGGCATCAATTTTACACATTGTGACCAAAAATTTTTCCAGAGGCTATGATAGGTTGGCCACAAATGACGTCAGAGTGACGTCATGTTCTGTCATTTTCGACCGAAAAAAGACCTTCGCGAGAAGACCTGTCAGGACTACAGCTTTGAAGATACAGAAAAATGATCAAGACATAAAAGGTGTAAAATTGACAGGGCTACAAAACTGCTATCTCGAATTTTTGAAATTTTTGAGTTTTGGCCCCCAAAAATAAAAAAAGCATTTTTTTTGGATATATTCGCCAAAAAATCCAGAAAGTTTTTTTAGTTTAAAAAAAAACGGAATATATGTGATAGTGCCTACTGTCTTCTATCTACATACCAAATTTCAGATCGATACCTCGTTTTTTGGCCAAGTTATAGCGAAAAAACTGTTCAAAAATGATGACGTCAAATTTTCAAACTCAATTTTTGGCAATTCTAGAACTCGTAGAGCAAAACGAAGACCATCATTAGACTCCCCGTGACGAGCTGCATCGAATCGATGCCCATTTTATGCAAAAATATCAACTTTGAAATTTGACCTAATTTGACCTGACCTTGACCTGACCTTCACCAAAACGTGACCTAGGCTGGCCCCAAAGGCTGCCTAACCCACATAATCGCATTTGTCATGTAAAATGGACCATAAAACATGTATCACACGACACATTCATATTGTGACCCCCGGTGACCTGACCTCGCTGTGACCTGACCTGGTATCAGTGACCTCAGATAGCAAAGTATGTGTTTGAAGAACAATGTACCATCGATGGTTTTCAATAAATTACCAATTTACTCGCTTTCACAGCACATTTCTTGAATTGCCTGTGAACGGTGAAAATCTGACCTTTGACCTGACCTGTGACGTCATCGGTTTGACCTAGGTCAATGAAATTTGGTCACAAGGTAGTTCCCGGGTGGGGCTATCGAACGCCGTTTGAATTTTGAAAATCGGCCGGTAACTTTCCGAGATCTTAGGGGGGGGGGCCGAAACGGCCCCCCCCCCCTACGGGTGGTAGGGTCCGCCGGTAGCCCTACGGGGCGCGGGTTATATGACTAAAATAACCCAAAACATGTGTCGCACATGCCCTCTTCTATATTTCGCATTTGGTGACCTGACCTGACCTTGACCTTGACCTTTGCATGACATTGTATGCAACGAATCTTGTCTTGGTAGCCTAAAAACACGTTTTGGGCAATCAGTCTCAGTCCATTCTTCGGCAACTAGGTACGGTGCAAGGCCGATACTGTAGAAACTTGCATTTTGTACGTACCTTTGACCTGACCTTGACCTGACCTCTGACCTACTTAAGCAAAAAGATCGGCTCTTTAGATCCGCATTGTTTAGAGCTTTCGATTGCCGTTTTCCCCATCTTTCTACGAACATCGGTTCGGAAGTTAGACAGGGGGGGGGGGGCAGAATCTGCCCCCCCCCCAGCAGGGCGCGAAAGGCTGAATAGCCCAGCGGGGCGCGGGTTAACCCTCACATGTGTTTGGCACATGTGCCAACCTCACTTGCCGTTTGGCAAGTCCAACCGGGGCCCTTAGGTACCGTTTGGCCCCTGATCGACCTAGAGCTTCACGGAAAAACAAGCGTGTTGCCCGTGACGAGAGGAAGCCGATGATACCCAATTTCAAGGTCCTAGATCATTGGTTGACCTTCCAGGTCAGGTCAATGACCCACAAGTCGGGAAAATGAGGCTGATATGGGTTTTTCGGGGTGCAGAGGCCAGTTTACCAACATGAAAATAGCCGCATGCCGGAATTTTTTGTCTAAAGACCGCCACACATACCGAACGTAAACGGAAAGCCCTAGCCACTTACGTGCCCATCGCGTTTACGCTCCGTATGTGAAACGGTCTTTACTCAACAAATTCCGGCAGGCGGCTATTTTTCTGTTGGTAAAACTGGCCTCTGAAAAAGCCCTATCCACTTAAAGGGATTATCAGGGTTTAAAAATTGAAAGGAATCGGCATAAATTTCCAATCAATGAACTCCCCAGACTCTGCCGATTCTAAAGATATGCATAAAATGTAAATCGGTACCAAAATTTGCGAGATATAGCCGTTTCAAAATTGACAAAATTGTACTGTGAGAAATATCGTTTCCGTCTGCTCTGAGCGGCATCGGCGACTCTCATTATTTCCAGCGACGGGAAGCGCCCCGTCAGTCGGCCCGGAGGCCAAAGCCGACCAACCGGCGGCGGCTCGCGCGGTTCCTATCTCGCTGACCTCCACCGTTTGCACCACAACAAAAACACTCGACGAGGGTTAAGCACGTAGTGGTAGACAGGGAACGTGAGAACCTGAATGTAGGATGATCAGTTAACAACTGATAATGAGCTGACGCCTTTGTGCAAGACCGGTAAGACCGGTGTAAAAACGCACACACCAAGGGCAAACGACTGTCAGAGAGGTATAAAACGGGCGCCAGACGCAGCAGCGACTCACTCACACAGTCCACACCACACTCAACAACATCCACTCTCCAACACTCCACTCAACATGCACAAGTAAGTACCTACGTAAGAATGACTCAGACCGGACGGTCTGCCCCAGCCAGCTCTCTTGGAGCTGTGCTGTGGGGACAAGGTGACGTGATGTCTTCTAGGAAGTCCGTTTAACTTGCCGAACTATTCGGTATATGGTTGAACTGTTTGTTTTGTCTTTCGGCTAACCATTCGGTTATCTCTTTCGGCTTTTTGTTTGGTGACCGTTGACCGCCGTTGTCCGGTCTCACTGCGCTGTTTGTGTTTCAGCCTGCCCGCCATCATGACGCTGACCAGGGAGCCGATTGGCTCGGCTTGGCGGCAGCAGGCTGTTCTTTCGGCACTCTTCCGGCCTCTACAATATCGGCATACTCGAGTGCGATAGCAACTCGAGTGGGACTGATTTTCGGTCTTCTTTCGACACTCTTCCGTCTTCTTCGATATCAGCCTGTGCTAATGCAGCGGCTATTCGTGCAGGACTGATTTTCGGCCTTGTCTCGTTTAATGACTCGATCGCTTCCTTTTGACATTTTGGATTCGACCTCATCTTTTGGCTCATTTCAATATATCTACTTTTTGTTCATGTCTGTGTGCTGGTGGAATGGATAGTGTTAGAAGAAGAGGAAACACACACATACATCGATCTTGTTTTCAGTGCAGTAGTTAATATCCCTAGACAACACATAGAGTAATATAGTGAAGGACACAATCCCCTAGACATATCTAGCGATAAGACAGCAATGCAGCATAGCAGCATATACAAAGGGACAACTTTCAAATTACATTGGGGGCTCGTCCGGGATCTCAAACTCTGTTCTGCTCGAACAGGACCCTGATTATATATGCTTCTGATTCACTGCATGTTCTCGTTTGTGAAGTTTTCATGTTCTTTGTTGTTCCAGGCTGATTCGTTGATGACTGACTTGGTACTTCTTGTAGTCCGTAAGCTTTCTATATTTCGTTTGTGAAATATGAATTGACGGGCCAATATCTGTGTATTTTCAGCTGCATTGATATCTGATGTGACCAGGAATGGTTCAAGCTCCAGGCTCTACTAGGTTCCACGTTCGTCAGGCCCAATTCTTGGTCTGCATGCGGCATTGGCAGTCTCCATTGGATGCATCGTCGAGGTCGCTGCATCTCTGGAAGTTTATTCGATTCAGGTTAGTCTTACTTCTGCGGGTCTACTTACTTTACCTTCTGCTGATACTTGTCCTTTCGAGTTATTCGGTCGTATGCATCGTAAATTAATTCGTTCGCATCGTTGGCAAGATAGAAGTGACTATTTAACTGGATAGGGTTGTATAGGAATGTCCAGATATGCTCAATGACTACATTCATTCGGTTCAGTTTTGTGTTCGGATGATACCGACTTGGTATCATTGAACTTTATTAAGAAGTTGCCCGTATAAGGCGCTCATATAATGCCGACTTGGTGTTATTGAGCTGGTCCGTAGGTTTGATCTGATAACATCGACTTGGTGTTATTGAGATTTGTCTTGACCTTTAATGCTCATGTGGCACGGCTGAAAGTAGCCGGTCGCCACTTGAACCGCTAGCAGTGTATACCGCTAGTAGTTCACCTCTCGTTGTGAGAGGGAGTGAAAGGATTGTCAAGGCAGAGACTACCATCCGCCACCGTCGGCACCACACAACTCCAAGGGAGGAGGAGACTCCCGATGTGGGCCCGTGTCGGTAGCTCTGAGCTTGACTAGGATGAACGAGTTACCGATCGTGGATCGTACTGATTTATTGAACAAAAATTGGCACACTATATTTCTAGCAAGGCTACCTTGCATAGGTAGTTTCAGCGTCTAAATGGTAATATTACAAATTACAGTGACAGTTGGACAAAGAAAAATTACTCCACACCTGCGCTCCTAGATTACCCTCTTAAGGCGTGACAATACAACAGCTACGGTTACAAGAGATAACATATAAGGCAGAAAACAATCACAAGACATATGTGTCAATCAATCACTGACATCTGCGTGCATCAAAAGGATTTACTAGTTTACGACGCCGCCGCTGGGTTGCACACGCTACGGCGCCGTCGCTAGCAACGGAGCGCTGTTGCACCCGCTACAGTATACCCCCTCCCTAGACACGTCACTGGGGAACGGAGAGGAACGTGACGTGTCGGAACCGGAGAGGCGGGCGGACTTCTCTACCGGAGCGGGTACGGAGGGCAGGGCGGAGCGGAGGCGCCGCCGGCATGGCACCAGGCGGGCACGACGAGCCGGCCGCCGCCGCTGACTGACAGTCGGCAGGGGAGAGCGCAGGAGGACCGTCGGCAGGGGAGGGCGCAGGAGGTACAGGGACCGCAGTGGACGGAACGGACTCGATGGGTCGGCGTGGAGTCTTGGATGGGAGTAGGAGCTTAGGTCCCGAACCTGGCACCGCAGTGTTGGGGCCCGGCGCGTCACGGGGCGGGTCGCAATGATTCGGAGTAGCAGTCGGCGCATCAAGAAAGGCGGGTTTGACACGGTCCAGCGAGACAGTATCATTACGACCGTTACGGAACACGGTGACAGTCTTGGTTGAACGGCGCACCACGCGAAAGGGACCGTCATACGGCGGCGTCAGCGGTGGGCGAGAGGAGTCTCGCCGAATGAAAACATGCTGACAGTCCAGCAGCTCACTCGGCACAAACACAGGCACGGAGGACGGAGAATGGAGATCGAGGGGCCGCCGGTCGAACCCGGCGCATGGCCCGGCGCAGCTCGTCCACGTAGGACGCCGGATCCAGGTGCGTCGGACCTGACGCAGCAGAGACGAGTTCGCCCGGAAGGCGCAGAGGCTGTCCGTAGACGAGCTCCGCCGGCGTGCAGCCCAGGTCTTCCTTCAGCGCCGACCGGATGCCGAGAAGAGCCATGGGCAGGAGGTCGGTCCAGCGGACCGGCGGATCAGCCGCACGCAGTGCAGTCTTCAGCTGACGGTGGAAACGTTCCACCAGACCGTTGCTCTGCGGATGGTAACTGGTGGTGCGAATGCGGTGGCAGCCGAGGATCTGCGACAGGTGGTCCCACAGGTTGGACTCAAACTGTGCACCTCGGTCAGTAGTGACGCAGGACGGCACGCCGTAACGGGCCACCCATCCGGAGACGAACGCGCGGGCGACTGTCACTGCACGAATGTCCGGCAAGGGCAGCGCCTCTGCCCAGCGCGTGAACCGATCCACGCAGGTGAGCAGGTACTGGTTACCGTCCGACGGGGGCAACGGACCCACGAGGTCGATGTGCACGTGGTCAAACCGTGCCGCCGGCAGCGGAAACGGTTGCACTGGGGTACGCGTGTGACGCTGCACTTTAGCCCGCTGACACTGGAGACACGCACGCGTCCACGTCGCGACGTCACGGTTCATACCGGGCCACACAAATCGCTGGGCGACGAGATGCTGGGTGCCACGGACGCCCGGGTGTGACAGGCTGTGCAGAAGGCGGAAGTAGGGTCGCCGGAGGTCCTCTGGCAGCAGTGGCCGAGGGCGACCTGTAGATTCGTCCACCAGCAGCGTTGAACCACTGGGCAGCTCGACGGAGCGCAGGCGGAGGGAGTGACGAGTGGCGACGAACGCCTGGAGCTCCCGATCGGTCTGCTGGGCCGTCGCCAGAGTCTCGAAGTCGTCCAGGGGTGGTCGAGGTTCGGAGAGCACGGTCGTGATCCGAGAGAGCGCGTCCGCCACTACGTTGTTCCGTCCGGGAACGTGACGGACATCGGTAGTAAACTGGCTGACGAAGTCCAGGTGACGAGTTTCGCGAGGAGCGTGACGATCGGAGCTGCACCCCACAGCCGACACCAGGGGTCGATGGTCTGTGAACAGGATGAACTCCCGGCCCTCGACACTGTGGCGGAAGTGCCGGATGGCGAGGTAGCAGGCCAGCAGCTCGCGCCCGAAAGTGCTGTAGCGCGTTTCGGCAGGCTTGAGCGTCTTGGAGAAGTAGGACAGCGGTGTCCAGCAGCCGTCCACGAACTGTTGTAGGACCGCGCCGACGCCGACATCCGAGGCATCCACTTGGATGCTGAGTGGTGCACCTGGCAGAGGGTGTGCCAGTCGGGTGGTGTCCGCCAGGCGCGCCTTGACGGCGGTGAAGGTCGACTGGGCCTCGTCAGTCCAACGGACGGGCCGAGCGCTCTTGGCGTTGCGTTGTGTGATCAGCCGGTGCAGAGGGCGAAGCAGGGCGGCGGCGTCGGGCATGAATCGGTGGTAAAAAGTTACCATTCCGATGAAACGCCGAAGGTCGCGCTCGGTGCGAGGCAGCGGGAAGTCCCGGACGGCTGCCACCCGGTCCGGCAGTGGGGCGATGCCGTCACAGTTGACGTCGTGTCCCAGAAAGTTCAGCCGCGGAACGCCGAAGACGCATTTGTGGACGTTCAGTACCACGCCGTACGCGTCCAGCTGTTGGATCACTTTTCGCACGTGTCCGATGTGCTCCGTCTCCGACGAGCTCGCGATCAGTATGTCATCGACATATGCGAAACAGTGGGTGCAGTCGCGCAAGACCTCGTCAATAAAGCGTTGGAAGGTCTGGCCGGCATTACGCAGGCCGAAGGGCATGCGGACCATTTCCCACAGGCCGAAGGGTGTGGTGATAGCGGTCTTCGGCACGTCGGACGGCTCCACGGGTATCTGGTTGTAGGCCCGGTGGAGGTCGAGTTTGGTGAAGATGGAGCAGCCGTGCAGCTGAGAGGCGAAGTCCTGGAGGTACGGGAGAGGGTACCGGTCGGGGACGGTGGCAGCGTTGAGAGCCCGGTAATCCCCGCACGGGCGCCACTCGCCAGGAGTGGCCTTCGGTTCCAGGTGGAGCGGCGCAGCCCAACTGCTCTGTGACGGGCGGATGACGCCGAGCCGGTAGAGCTTGTCGAACTCTCGGCGAGCGACAGCAAGCCGGTCAGGAGCGAGACGGCGAGGGCGTGACTTCCGGGGCGGGCCCGTGGTGACGATATGATGCGTCACCGAATGGCGTACCGGAAGCGGACGGGAGGTGTCGGCCGTGACGCCCGGGAACTCCGCCAGCATCGACTGGTAGGGCGAGGCAGTGGGTCGGAGACCCAAAGAGGACACTACTGCAGTGGTGCCCCTCGCTCTGACAGTTCCATTGTCCTCACACAGCGTGCACCTCCTCACATCCACCGAGAGGTGGTGATGGGCCAGAAAGTCGGCGCCGAGGATGGGCACGCCGACTTTGGCCACCACAAAACGCCACGGCAGAGGCGAGCCACCATCCAAAGTCACACAGTGGTCAAACAGACCGATGACCGGCACGCTGGAGCCATTGGCCGCGGTCAGTCGGGGAGCCTGTCCGGCGGCTAGCACTGCGCCTCGCGGGAGCGCGTGAGGAGGCAGGGCACTCACTTGGGCCCCAGTGTCTATCAAGAATCGGCAGTTCAATTTAGTATCGTGCACATAAAAGAGCGGCGCCAAGTCCGGTGTCGGGCCTGATGCGGGAGGCGCAGGCCGGCTCAGGCCTCCGAGTTTCCCGCCGGCGTCCACGCACACGGCCCAGTGCACTTTCGGGCCCGCGCTCCGTAGGTGCGGTGGTACCAGCAGTAATCCTCCCGCTCGTCGCGGGAGGGCGAGGACGACCGGGAGCCACGCCTAGGCGTTCCTGGCCGCGAGCGGCGACCAGCAACTGCCCCCTCCAACCGCCGATGGGAGGTGTCCAGCCGGCTGATGACGGCGGACAGGGAAGCGATGGCGGCAGCTAGATCTCCGTCCCCAGTCGTGGCCGCAGGAGCCGGGCTGGAGTTCGCACCGACGGCGGAGACGGCGCCAGTGGGCCGAGACGCCTCCAGGAAGCGGTCAGCCGCCTCTGCGAGCTCTGCCAGCGGAGTGGCCTCCGGCAGGAGCGAGAGAGCGGCGCGGGCGGACTGCGGCAGCCGCTGGAGGAACAGGGTCCTCAGTAGGCCACTGTCCACCGACGAGTCGCCAGCCGTTGAAAGTTGTCCTCTCATATCGCGAAGAAGCTGGGAAGGCGACCTGTCGCCGAGCTGTTGATGCCGGAGCAGGGCCTCGAGGCGGCTGGCACGGGACTGGGCGAGGCGCTGGCGGAGGGCAGTGCACAGCCCGTCGAAGTCTCCTGGTGCACTGACGATAACGTCCCGTACTTGGGCCGCCACGTTGGTAGGCAGATTTGCCACCAGCAGCTTGAACTTTGTGACGGGATCGGCAATGCCAGCCACGTCGAACGCACATTCAACTTGGAGCAGCCAGAGGTCCGCCTCGTCCGGGGCAAACGCCGGCAGTCTGAATGAAGCAAGCGGTCGCGCCCGCTCGTCCGATGCAGCCGTGGTGGCAGGAGTGTCGGCCGACGCAGCCTCCTGCGAGGTGTCGCCCTCCATCACGGGCATGGTGTACACGTCACCGTACCGCGCCGCGTCCCCAGACCGGCAACTCGTCTGCCCACTGCGCTCGCTGCGCTACCGTGGTCCGGGGGTTAACACTGTACACTGAGAGCCCGAGACGACGCACTGCTCATCCCGGACCTGGCCGCTGCCCACTACGCTCGCTGCGTTACAGAGGTCCGGGAAGGCATCACAATCCGCTGGCGTGTTGATGGCGTACCCCCATTCAGCGGCGAATCCTGCGTGCCGCGGCGGATCCTGCGTGCCTTGGGGGTCCGCACCGCGGCGAAAGAAGGTGGAAGTCCGGAAGTGGCCGTCTGGCAGGTGAGAAGGCCAGTAGTGGTCCGTACCACAGCGGGGCCAGTGAGACGGCCAGGAGTAAGTGTCTGGCAGGTGAGTCCAGAGTCGGGTGTCACCAATGTGGCACGGCTGAAAGTAGCCGGTCGCCACTTGAACCGCTAGCAGTGTATACCGCTAGTAGTTCACCTCTCGTTGTGAGAGGGAGTGAAAGGATTGTCAAGGCAGAGACTACCATCCGCCACCGTCGGCACCACACAACTCCAAGGGAGGAGGAGACTCCCGATGTGGGCCCGTGTCGGTAGCTCTGAGCTTGACTAGGATGAACGAGTTACCGATCGTGGATCGTACTGATTTATTGAACAAAAATTGGCACACTATATTTCTAGCAAGGCTACCTTGCATAGGTAGTTTCAGCGTCTAAATGGTAATATTACAAATTACAGTGACAGTTGGACAAAGAAAAATTACTCCACACCTGCGCTCCTAGATTACCCTCTTAAGGCGTGACAATACAACAGCTACGGTTACAAGAGATAACATATAAGGCAGAAAACAATCACAAGACATATGTGTCAATCAATCACTGACATCTGCGTGCATCAAAAGGATTTACTAGTTTACGACGCCGCCGCTGGGTTGCACACGCTACGGCGCCGTCGCTAGCAACGGAGCGCTGTTGCACCCGCTACACTCAGATGTTACTGACTTGGCTTTAGGGAGCTAACACTGACTTCGTTGTCATGGGACGTTCTGATGATACCGACTTGGTGTCATTGAACTTTGGGGTAGTTGCCATAGGATGTCTGCAGTGACCAGGTGCATGGCAGCACAGTGGTCAGCTAGCTGGTTCGGGGCAATGACTATCCACAGATAAAAACAACGCGAGTTCGATCATCCGATCGCCAAACCGGATATGCGATTCGATCAGTGTTTTCAGGATCGCGGAAGTATCCCATGATCAAGGTTTCCGGAGTTCAGAGGTCCGTTGACATAACCTTACATGGCCCTGACACAGTCCGAAGTGTCATTGTGACTGAGTGGATTGATGCCTCGCTGACATGATTAGTTATTCTTTAGGTTTTTTTTTCAACTGGTCGGTCACTGGTAGAGTTGCATTATGGCTGAGTTGTTGACAAGGTTCAGTGGAACAAGATCGGTTCAATGTTTCACAGATTGAGATGTCATTTATTTGTGAGAGTACAACGTCGTTTACATCTATTCAGTTCTTACACAGGAATTTCAACATTTCAGAGCATGTGGCAGGTTTCCGGCAAGTCGAATTCAGGTGAAGTAATTCTCTCTGTGCTAGACACTTTGCCCTAGTTGATAGGTAAATTTCGTATTAATTAGTCATTATTGGTTAACATTGGATGGCAATATACTTTTAACTTTGCTTCGGTTCAAACAGACAGTCATCTCATCAGTCAGTTGAGGGTTGTGATTTGTGAAAATAATCCCAGTCAACATTGGTGATACTCCCGTCCAGTTGGAAAGTATTTGACAGAATAATGAAACGCATTTGTTATTTGGCGGGTGATGTGCTGGGCCAGAAATGTGGTTTCCGTTTATTGAGTAGGTCGTGCCGTCTGCCTACGTCCCTGAGAGAAGGGCGAGTGCTAGGTAGGACGTGCAGCCTACAGACGTCTCTTGGAGGAGGACGTCACCGGACCGTCTGCTCGCGGGGAGCAGGACGGCAGTCGCTACCCGGACGCGTAGGAGCTGAGGAGAACTGGTGATAGGGCCTGCCCCACCTATCTACCAGGGTGAGTAGCATGGCAGAGGGGGGTCCTCTGGGGGTCCATGCCCACCGAACATACACCGGCCGGGTATGGGTGGAATTCTCGGTCAGCTTACGCTCTAGGCATAAGGGCTGGGCGTGCAGTGACGGGAGCAGCAGGTCACTGGCACAAGCGACAATCCATGCTGAGGAGGTGTTCCTAGCATGTGAAAAACGGAACCATTTGAGCGTGTAAGGCGGCAAACCCCACCGCAAATACACTGCTACCGGAGTATAAAGAGTCGAACACTCCAGCGAGTACAAGAGAGAGGCCAGCAGCAAACCCGACCAACAGCTTGCTTGTTTGAAGGTGACGTCGATAGAAAATGTGTCTTATATAGGGTGATGACGACTCGATTGCTCGACTTTGTTGCACAGGTGCTGCAGGTACAGCAAACCCGACCAACAATTTACTTGCTTCAGGAGGTGACCGCAGTATCGATAAGGAAGGTGGGTTGTTTTATATCCGAGATAGGATGACTCGGTTGACTTATTTGGCACTGCTCAGGAGTTGCTGGAGCAGCAACCCGACTTACAGCTTAATGACTTTGGAAGGTAGTCGCAGCAGTCGATCGGAAAGGTATGATTCACATTCAAGGTTAGATGGTTAGATGATTAATTGGCTGCTTGTTTTATTGCACAGGTGTTGCAGAAGCAGCAAACCCGACCAACACCATAATTACTTTAGGAATTGTACTTCAGGAATTGACCAGTGTCGGATAATTGACCACAGTGTCGATAAGACAGGTGTCTTAGGAAGATGACTCGGTTGCTTTGCTTCGTTTGCACAGATGTTGCAGAAGCAGTGAAACCGATCGACGTTAACTTGTTTCAGAAGATGACCGCAGCGTCGATAAGAAAGGTGACTTGTTTGCTGTGCTTCGTTGCACAGATGTTGCAAAAACAGCAAATCCGACAAACAGTTGAAATGTGAGTAGACTTCAGGTGACTGCAGAGGGAAAGATAGTGTTTAAGACGGAAAGTGGTTTTCGTCTCGTTTTATCTCCATTCCATGGCAGGAGGTAGTACGACTCGAATCCTTGCTTAGCTGCACTTTGCAAGTCATAGCAAGTGCAAAACTCTTCAGGAGTCCATCCCGTGGCTCATCTCCAGAGTAGGAAGATAGACATAAATGCTTCATGTCCTGCTTCATCGTGAATTACTGCGTGGGTCTTGCAGTTGAGATAACAAGGCAAAGAAAAATAGTAATTCGGCCGTCAGCAGTTACCATGTGAGCTGACTGAAGCCGAAAGGTTTCGATTTCAGCGCAGGTACGAGGCACGAGACGTCCCGAGGGAAGGTCTTGCCGGTAAAGCTAAACCGAGCAGAACCGCAACGGTAAGGGACAATGCCAATGTAACGAAATATTGGATTGATTTCGTTGTTTCGACTTTCGAGTAACACTTAGGTTAGCAACGGTAAGGGACAATGCAACATTAACGAAATATTTGCTTGATTTCGTTGTCTCGACTTTCGAGTAAGACTTAGGTTAATGTTTTTATAGCAAGATTCTGGAGTAGCATCAACTGTGCAAACTGACCACACCTTTTCCTGTGGAACGATTTGAATATGAACCCGAAAGCCTATGCAGTTAGAACCTGCAATCCTATGTGAACTCGTTCAGCACTCATGTGAATCATTTGGCAATCCCAAAGCTGAACGAAGAGTCAACGTCATATTGAATGGAAGGTGTACCAGTTACTGTGGTTGACTTTCGTTGTATTGTCTGCAACAGACACCGCGCTGCCGAGTGGAGGTCCTGATGGATTTATCCAACCCTGCATGGAGCGCCACCATCTCGTGAGTGACCAGCGACGGTGATGTCGGGTCACGAACAAAAGTAAGAACAACCCTTGAGATCAAAAGATCAAAGCCAACGGGCATGTGCTCACTTGTTAAAGTCAAGCAGACGAGTTTGCTACAATCTGCTTCAGCGTATGCATGAAGGTCGTGATAAGGGTCAGTTGGTGCTCGAGGTATAAGTTGTGGTGAAGCAACAATCTTGTGCATTGCCTTGAAACTAGATCCAGCGACATGGATCTGTGCAGACCAAAAGATGCGCGGGCATAGAACCGGCATAGACAATAGGACAAACTGCTCGTGTGCTGCGATGCTTGCATCGTCTGGTCCCTCCCAATGTCCTCAGGTCATTGGAGCCAGCAGCAGAGTGCGTCCTACACAGGTATCTGAGATACCAAAAGGTCTACAAGCACCACCAATCTCTCGGCATGTCAGATTGACTTCAGCCTCAACACCTCACCCGAGCCCTTAGGACCAACATCTCGATGCTGAGTGCTGCCAGAGGTCGGAAACGCATCCTTCTGTTCTAACGGAGGCAAACGATCACTCGCCCGTCGGTTGTAACTTATCTCCTCCAGGTGTGGCGGCCATAAAGCAGACGGATGGACCCATCACGTTATCACTCGTGAGTTTTTAAAGTCGAAGCCCGTATTGGGAATCGTTAACAAGCGTACCCTTTACATTGCACGAATGACGACATGCTCCTTTGTAAATCGTTTCCGGTAAACCACGAAATTCCCATCCCAGAAACAGTCCACAGGTCAGTAGCAAGGAGATGTGGTTCCCAGAATAATATAAATGTAAAGGTGCAGTGATTGCCTTTTTCCAAGATTTTGTGAAGACGCCGCATTTGCCATTGTCTACAAGTCAAACTCGGTTTGACCCAGTCAGACTGTAAGTCTATTATTACGTACGTATACCCGTTCACCCCCTAAGGTTACAGTTCTTCGTTCGCCATAAAAATGGGAGGGATGTGAGAAATATCGTTTCCGTCTGCTCTGAGCGGCATCGGCGACTCTCATTATTTCCAGCGACGGGAAGCGCCCCGTCAGTCGGCCCGGAGGCCAAAGCCGACCAACCGGCGGCGGCTCGCGCGGTTCCTATCTCGCTGACCTCCACCGTTTGCACCACAACAAAAACACTCGACGAGGGTTAAGCACGTAGTGGTAGACAGGGAACGTGAGAACCTGAATGTAGGATGATCAGTTAACAACTGATAATGAGCTGACGCCTTTGTGCAAGACCGGTAAGACCGGTGTAAAAACGCACACACCAAGGGCAAACGACTGTCAGAGAGGTATAAAACGGGCGCCAGACGCAGCAGCGACTCACTCACACAGTCCACACCACACTCAACAACATCCACTCTCCAACACTCCACTCAACATGCACAAGTAAGTACCTACGTAAGAATGACTCAGACCGGACGGTCTGCCCCAGCCAGCTCTCTTGGAGCTGTGCTGTGGGGACAAGGTGACGTGATGTCTTCTAGGAAGTCCGTTTAACTTGCCGAACTATTCGGTATATGGTTGAACTGTTTGTTTTGTCTTTCGGCTAACCATTCGGTTATCTCTTTCGGCTTTTTGTTTGGTGACCGTTGACCGCCGTTGTCCGGTCTCACTGCGCTGTTTGTGTTTCAGCCTGCCCGCCATCATGACGCTGACCAGGGAGCCGATTGGCTCGGCTTGGCGGCAGCAGGCTGTTCTTTCGGCACTCTTCCGGCCTCTACAATATCGGCATACTCGAGTGCGATAGCAACTCGAGTGGGACTGATTTTCGGTCTTCTTTCGACACTCTTCCGTCTTCTTCGATATCAGCCTGTGCTAATGCAGCGGCTATTCGTGCAGGACTGATTTTCGGCCTTGTCTCGTTTAATGACTCGATCGCTTCCTTTTGACATTTTGGATTCGACCTCATCTTTTGGCTCATTTCAATATATCTACTTTTTGTTCATGTCTGTGTGCTGGTGGAATGGATAGTGTTAGAAGAAGAGGAAACACACACATACATCGATCTTGTTTTCAGTGCAGTAGTTAATATCCCTAGACAACACATAGAGTAATATAGTGAAGGACACAATCCCCTAGACATATCTAGCGATAAGACAGCAATGCAGCATAGCAGCATATACAAAGGGACAACTTTCAAATTACAGTACTTACTCACGCAAAACAAGTACTTGGGCGGCCAAGTTGGCCCATCGCTAAAATGTAAACAAAGAGCAGCCTTGGGAAATTTCGCCAAGGCCGCCGCACCGCACTGGCGATTTCCACAAGACTGTTGTGTTTTGTCTGTTGTTTTTAGGGCCTTGCAACAAGATTTCAGTGCTTGGCATTGGATTTGGATATGAACAAATTGAAGATTTGCTTTTCAATAAGACAGCAAGAGTTATCAACATTGCCAAAATTATTATATGGGTGTGATTTGAATAGCTTGTTTGCTGATCATCAAAATCTTGATGTTAATATCATTTAAATGTCAAAAGTTTTCCAGGGTAAATTTGAGTGTTTTGTTTCAATAAATTGAAATGTAAGTGCATCAGGCACAAGAGCTAAGTTTCAATCTGATTATTTTGTCAAGAGTGGTGAATCTAATGTAACGTCTTGCGAGAAAGCTTACCTAAGTGACTGAAGAAAGCGCTACAGTTTTTCAAAATCAATGTTGATCTGTTTTTTCGAACAACAGGTTGTACAACATGATGTGACATGACCTCTGTGCCCTGTACGTCACCCCTGCTGCTGCAGCAGAGCCCCAGCTTCAACTATAGTTTGTTATGGGTGGGCTCTCCGTGAACGTCTTGGTGCGTTTCTACATATTGTTGCTGTGAAAGGACTGTACATGAAAAAAATATGTAACTTGTATGTTTTTTATTGCCCTGGTACCTACTTAATGTATATTGTTGTTGTTTATGAGTGATAAATGAATATATTTTGAGGAAAATTGAGTCATTTCAGTTTTAGTTTGTGGAACAGAACAGAAGAAGCTGCTGAGTGTGGATCATGCTTCAATTGAGAGAATCATCCTCAGTTATCTACATATAAGCATGCTTTGTAAGCTCCTTGCATTTTGCCAGCTTCTACTTGCTAGTCAAAGTTGTAAGAAGGGTTAGGGAGAACAATTGGTACACATGCCACCATGTGCAATCACCAAACGAATGAACGTGAGGGCCAAGTCCTTCACACAGCATGGATACTTATAGGTACTGCACTAATATATAATGTTCATTATGTTCATATTAGCAACTCACCCAGGCATCCTGCCTTGTGGTATTTCTGAGTTTAAGATTTTGCAAGACTCACACTAATCAATAAGGTAAATTATATTGATATGTAGGTATGGATGAACAATGTGCAAAGGGGTCGCACGTGCCTGCTCAGTGCTCAGCCATGGATGCACGTGCCTTCTCAACAATGGTCGTGCTTGCAGACATCTCCATGGACGAACAATGTGCAAAGGGGGGGGGGGGGGGGCCGGGGGCGTGCCTCCGCGGCCGCCTGTTGGCTCAGCCGCTGCTGCTGCTTGGCGCCGCTGCTGAGCGCTGCCGGAGACGCCGCTCGCTGCCGGAGCTGCCGGAACAGTCACCGGAGCTGCCGCCCGCTGCCGGAGCTGCGGGAGCCGGGCCCGCCGCCCATCTGTCAGGACCGCCGACGGCAGCACGCTCGTCTGTCAGGGTCTGTCAGTGCCGGCAGTGGACGCGCGCGGGTGCGGGCCGGGTACGGACGCGCGCGGGTGCGCGCCAGGTACGGGTGCGCGCCGGCTATGGACGCGCGCGGGTGCGCACCGGCTATGGACGCGCGCGCGCTTGCGTGCCGACGATGGGCGCGCGCGCGCGCTTGCGTACCGACGATGGGCGCGCGCGCGTGTATGTCGACCATGGCTGCCGCCCGCTGCCGGAGCTGCGGGAGCCGGGCCCGCCGCCCATCTGTCAGGACCGCCGACGGCAGCACGCCCGTCGGTCAGGGTCTGTCAGTGCCGGCTGTGGACGCGCGCGGGTGCGCGCCGGGTAAGGACGCGGCGCGCGCGCCGGCTATGGACGCGCGCGCGCGCTTGCGTGCCGACGATGGGCGCGCGCGCGTGCATGCCGGCCATGGCCGCGCGCGTGCGCCCCAGCCATGGCCGCGCGCGTGCGCCCCAGCCATGGACGCGCGCTAATGCGCGCCGGCGATGGGCACGCACGTGCCTGCTCGGCAATGGATGAGCGACGAGCGTGCCTTCTCGGAAATGAGTATACATGCAGACATCTTCATGGATGGACGCTTTCAATATGTTCAATGTGTTGAGACGGATCTGAGTAAATTGGAGAGAAACTAGGATAGTTTTAGTCCTGCTCAACTGGTTCTGCCAATAAGTACAAACACCACCTTGCTGCCAACTGCTTAACAAATACCGCATCTGTTGTACCCTTGCATGATGCATATGTACATACAGAAACAATTACAGTCTGTTGAAATCTGAAAACATGCACTGCTGAGCACTGTGGATGAATCTGTATGAACCGTGTGGCCCAGCGAAACCTTCTGGACCAGGTTATAATTGACAGTGACTTAGTAATCAATCCTTGCGAAGAGAAAATAGATGATTGTGCCTTAGATGAGCATAATGAAGAAGCGTTCCTGAAGTTGAGTTAGTGGCTTTCCATCATCCATGCCAGATGGCCAAAACACACCATTTCAATACTGTCCCAAAAATATATTTCAAAACACTTATTGCATGGCTATACACACCAGCTTACTCGGTCACCACACTCAAACCAAGGCCATACAAGTAGACTCAAACACAGTCTACTGATACAAACGTCACTGGTCTCAAGTCTGTGCTCAATGCACCAGCTGTACACTACTCACAATACGTAAGGACTCAACGTCAGCCACCAATTTTCTACATCAAATTCACATCAGGTTTTCAAAGTAACAATGCATGTGCCACTTCTGTACTTTGTGCTACAAACACAGAATAAATGATATCAGTCAGCAATGCATTGCTCATTGTCAGCGAGTCTGCAAAGTCAGTCCGCAGGCTTTGCAAGTAAGTGCAAAGTCTGCGGAGATCAGTTGCTTTACACACCACCAATATCATGCTGCAATGTGCTCAAAATATGCCCATGCACCAACAACAAAGCACAACCATGAAGCACCACTGATAACACTTAACCTCAAAGCACACAACATGATAATTTATTTATTTTGAGTACCTACAGAAACAGAATGTCTCAAGGCCACTCGTGCTCACTCCGAAATCTGCCAGTCGCTCAGCCTTGAACATTGATATTATTTCATCTGAAATCTATTTTCTTCACTTGATCAAAGTTGATCTGCGTCATACCTACATCTTACAACGGATGTCTCGAATTATTGGTAACGTTCAGCACTTAGCATTAACATAACAAATGATAGGTAACTTTGATTCAACGTTCCATCAAAGCTTCTTCATTGCTGGAGCTATATCACTTTCAAGTTTAAGTGCTTGATCTAAGACATTCTTGAATTACACTCGGGATGAGCTTAGTTTGAAAGCACACAACATAATTTTTTAATTATTTTGATAACCCACAGGATATCTAGAAGCTACACGCACTGGCTACAAATCCCACAAGTCTTGAACATTCAAATATGAATAGGAACAGCTTTGTTTCGCACAGATTTCGCACATGGCGGGATGGCGCCATTCCGTCCCACTCATTCAGCCTCAGAAATTACAACAACACACTCAACTTACGGAATATCCGTCAAACAAATCTTATTTACGACGACACGAGCCAAGCTAACAACGCTTGCCAGTTGCGCTAGAGATATTGGAGTGGAGACGTCAGAGAAAAAAAGTCTTTAGATTTCTCCCATTTCCCCACGTAACGTTGAACGGCCGTTGCGGCCTTATCTGGTATGCGACGGCCTTATCTGGCATAAAAAATATCTCTAGAAGTCTCTAGCTAGTGTTAAGCCTATGGACTTATAGGGAAATGTATCCGAGTACTTGGTACTGCCTCCTCCAGGTACTGGCTGGCAGACGGATCAACTTTGGAGGCCCACCATTTGGAAATTAGGCAAGTTTGAGACGAATGACTTCGGATTGGGGCCTCAGCCACCTTCTTCTACACGTTTCACTGAGTAACTCCGAAATTTCGGAAAAAACCCTGATAATACCTTTAAGTGCCCATCGCGTTTACGCTCCGTATGTGAAACGGTCTTTAGTCAACAAATTCCGGCAGGCGGCTATTTTTCTGCTGGTAAAACTGGCCTCTGATCACGAATTTCATGTTAGTTTTGATCACAGATGATGTCTTTATCCATTTAGGCCAGGTCAGATCAGATCAGGTCAGGTCAACCATTAGGCGTCCTGCCGGCTATACCTACATAGTAGGCGTCAACGACAACTTCCACTGACGGCGTCGTAACAGGCTACGAAGGCACTAAATCTACTTCGTAAATGTTCAAATGGATGCTAGATTCGAAATCAGCCCGAAATACTACCCTAGAAACATGTAAAACTCGAAAAAGTGTCCCGAAGTCATGAAAGGTTAATGTCTAATGAGCTGACATTCAGGTGACCTTGACACCCACCGTAATGTATGATGGGACGAACATCATTTCACATGTTGGACGTTTATAACCACAAAAAGACTGAAAACGCACGGATAATGTGAGCTGACACGCTGAATAGCGATTCCGGCCAAACATGGCCTCGAGAAACAGGCCACAGGTCAAAGGTCACTTGGGTCAGGGTCATGAATATTTCATAGTACCTACGTGTAAAATTGATCAACTCGAGGGTACTGATAGTTTCGTCGCGATCGGCCGCTTTTTGCGCGAGTTTTTCGCGAAAAACCATGGGGGCTCCATCCGACTGCACCCCCTGGCCCCTACCTACACATGCGAGGGCTAATACATTCGCGAAAAAACACAGGAGGTTTTCAACCCTCCCCCCACGCACGACGTGGGTGTAACTATATTCAAAAATGAGTATTGACTAGTGAGACGTTCATCCGAAAAAGGCACATGTTCTATTCTCCGTCCCATTGACTTTATGCCTACCTAATGGAGAGGTTCTAAACTGTTTGTTACTGATCTGACCTTTGGTCACCGTTATAAAAGTAAGCGCTAGCAAGTACGTTTTGTTTTACAGTTTACCTACACATCCGTCGCGCTCATCCGTCGTGCAAAGCTGTCGTTCAGTCATAGCTGATAGCTGTGGAGAATATTTGAATTTGCTTGAGGTTAGGTCTCCCGACATGACTTGGTGACGTATCCTTGAATGAATGACCTCGAGACTTTTACTATATTTACGGAGATGTAAGGTCTATCAATGTAATTGTACATTCACACTTCACAGAGATTTTAGTTTTTACCTATCAACGTGTCCAATTAAGATACTCGGATAATGCCGAAGGAGCGTGAAAACGCCTCCCATGTCCCGGCTTGATTAGAATATTTCGGGAATTTTTAAGGTTAGGTAGCCTAAAGTCAATTCAGTCTCGTGACCTTTTCTATAACTATATAGACAACTCAATGAGAAATGTGGATGTTGCTTATTTTGCGCGATAACTTTGCCTGGTCTGTTCCAGCTCTTACATTCGTGATACCACAAACTACGAGAGACCACAAAATATTGTCTTCACTACGATCGATCGTATCGTAAAGGAGCCAACTGAGCACCTCCATAGTCATCCACCCGGCACAGGGCGGTGGCGGTGCTGTCCAGCATGTTCTTCTTGGTGCTTTTTAACCGTGATAATATATGCAGTGGAAGAGCCATCACCTCACGCGTGCGTCCACCGCTGCGGCGCCAGTCCAGAAAGGCAATCAGTATATGGGTTATCACACGCCAACTCAACCTACTAGAAGTGCAATTTTACGCGGCACCCCCTCAACTCGAAATGCCATTTGACAAAAGGGGAGCTCGAATGTTAGCAAGGATTCCAAATACCGGGTCGAAATCGTTCTTATGTTAACAGGTTGGCAAATAGTACATGGATAAAGTAGAAACACCCCGATAACCGGAGAAATGTTCTAATAACCGCAGGGTAGCACAGACATATCGGATATTCCAAAGTAAACTTTATTGATGGTTGGATGATCGCTGCAAAAGCGAAAATAGAAAACGGGAATGAATGCATCAATGCATGAACGGCTCATTCGTAAGTACTCAAAGCACTACTCGAGCCGGTTGCGGTGAATGTCACCGGACACAGTACACACCCAATGGGTGCCATTTGATCGCTGCTCTGTCGTCACTGAGATCACCGCGCGGCCGAGCCACCCCCCCCCCCCCCCGCCACCGCGCACGGCCGGCCGCGACCAACACTCCCGCCCAATGACCGGCATACGGGACCGCGCCACCGCCAGTCTCCGCGGAGACCCGGGCTGAGCGGCAGGCCGATCTGAGCACACACACGTCCCCAGAGGTACTGCCGCCACCGCCAGTCTCCGCGGAGACCCGGGCTGAGCGGCAGGCCGATCTGAGCACACACACGTCCCCGGGGGTACTGCCGCCAGCAGTGCGGCGGCGCCCGTCACAGCGAGATATCTGTCCCCACGAGCCGGGCCGGGCCGGGCTGACTACAGCTCGTCCCTGCCGCGCCGAGCCGGGTCGGCGTCCCGGTCCGACTCCGACTCCGAGTCCGAGTCCTCTGGGAACGCCCAGAAGGCGGACGGCAGCCCGAGCGCGTCCCGCTCGCGGAACACCACTGCCGAGAACGAGGAGACGCAGTTGCCGATGAAGAGGTTGGCGCGCGCCAACAGCGCCAGCTCGGCGTGCGCGTCCGCCGGCCGGCCCGGCTCGGCCGGCTGCCACGTGACCAGCTCGAACTGCCGGGCAGAGCGGGTGTCAGCGGCGGACACACGGACGGGCGGACACACACACACGGGCGGACACACACGGACGGGCGGACACACACGGACGGGCGGACACACGAGCAGGCGGACACACGGACGGGCGGACACACTGACCAGTACCGCAGCGAGAACAGTATCGGTGGCCACGGCGAGGGGGCGCGGCAGTGGGAGCAAACGAACCCGTAATAAACCCCAGACAGGCGACAACAAGGGAGGCGCATGAAGATCACGAAACTCACTGAACTATTTGGATAGACGATGGTAAAAAGTGAATCATATTTAACTAAATAGTCGATGAAATGTCCCCCTGTCACAGCACTACGTTGCCACTCCGGAAAATCAATCCATTATCAGGCATGAAGGGCATTGTGCATCTGCCCACATAGAAGCAATCAGACGGGTGAATGGGCGACAAGTAGGAATGGAACCGTCCTCCATGTGTGTGCATGTGTGTGTGTGTGTGGGGGGGGGGGGGGGCAGACAGCTCGGTAGGGCTGGGCTGTGCGCCGCTCGCCACTGAACTCCCTCCCCGCCGTTGTCTTCACGGTCTGTCAGTGTCGGTGGGTGGGTGTGGAGTATCTCAGAGCCGGGCTGTGCGCTGCCGCTCACCTCCTGCTCGTGGCCGCGCAGCTCGCGGCGCAGACGGTCCAGCCGCTCGGGCGCGTCCGTGGCCACGTAGACGGCGGGCGCGCGCGTGTGGCGGGCGGCGCGGCGCATCTGGCGCGCCACGGTCGGCCAGTCCGGGTAGCAGAGTCGCTCCGTCAGCCGACCGTGCTGCTGACGGTAGCCCAGACACTGCGCCGACGAGAACATGTTGCCCGTGGCCTGGCGCGTGTGGGCGCAGGCGCGCTCCTGGTGGACGGCCGGACAGACATCGTGAGCTCACCGACGGCCGGACAGACACCGTGAGCTCACCGGCGGCCGGACAGACACCGTGAGCTCACCGGCGGACGGACACGGGCACCGTGAGCTCACCGACGGCCGGACAGACACCGTGAGCTCACCGACGGACGGACAGACACCGTGAGCTCACCGGCGGCCGGACAGACACCGTGAGCTCACTGACCCGGACGGACACCGTGAGCTCGCCGACGGCCGGACAGACACCGTGAGCTCACCGGCGGCCGAGCACATACGACCCGAGTACACACGTTACACAATAAACATCACAGACGTAGAAACCCATACAGAGCCATGGCTTAATAGCTAATGGGCCTTCTATGGGCCCGGGTAACCTCAGTAGCTACATATAAACCTCGGGGTTAGTCCGAACACAATCACCCAGTCAGGACAAACTCACCCAGCCGTGAGCTGTTGAGCTCACCCGGCACGGTGGTCGGACTCACCCAGTCGGAGCCGAGTCGGAGGTGGACGCCAACGAACGGCGCGGCCGGCAGCAGGCGGCGCCTCAGCTGGCGGGCGCGCTCGCGGACCGCCTCCGACCACTGGAAGTGGCGCTGCAGGCCGGCGTTCACCTCCAGCACCGGGTAGGAGGCCGGCGAGCCGGCGAACGCCAGCACTGAGCAGCCGACGCAAAGGGTCACATGTCACCGACACGACAACGTTAACAATCTAACTTCATTACTCCATTTTTGAGTTCCGTAAGAGGACCTTTCTTTTCGGACAAACAAAAACGGAGCTGAGGACTCGAACTTTGCTAAGTGAATACAATACGGCGTGAATACGGCGGGTAGCGGACTCACCGGGCCAGCTACGGACGGCGGGTGGCGGACTCACCGGGCCAGCGGTGTGGCGGGAGGCGGACTCACCGGGCCAGCGGTGCGGCGGGTGGCGGACTCACCGGGCCGACTGCGGACGCCGGGTAGCGGACTCACCGGGCCAGCTACGGACGGAAGGTAGCGGACTCACCGGGCCAGCTACGGACGGAAGGTAGCGGACTCACCGGGCCAGCGGTGCGGCGGGTAGCGGCGCCGCCAGCGCTCCGCCTCGCCGGCCACGTTCCACAGGTCGTACGACAGCGGGCTGTGCAGCTCCGAGGAGACAAAGTCGATGCCGTAGGTGTCCCAGAAGGGGCCGGGCGGGTTGCCGTTCTTGGCGGCGCACGGGTCGGTCGGCGGCTCACCGTACGCCTGCCGCTGCTGGTAGCAGAACGCTGCGGGGATAACAGGGCGCATCAGCGATACACACTACACAGCGACCGCTGCTGGTAGCAGAACGCTGCGGGGATAACAGGGCGCATCAGCGGTACACAGCGACCGCTGCTGGTAGCAGAGCGCTGCGGGGATAACAGGGCGCATCAGCGGGACACAGCGACCAGCGCCCCCCCCCCCCCCCACACACACACACAAACGCGCCCCGGTACGGTACACCGACGTAATCCAGCGGAAAGTCAGCGCTCCAGATGCTTGTCCCACAGTCTGTTAGACAGAAAGGTTGCCTATGGAGTCATGGACACACGATCCAAGTTCACGGTCCGTCACCCCTCTCAGCCACCATCCCGTCAAAGCAGATCCGCTGCACTCTTCAGACGGTGTGAATTGACTGCCGGACTTTTGGGGAAGGGAGGTGTGGCCCGGGAACAGCTCCCGACTTCCGACTGAGGAACTTTGGGATATCATTCGGCAGGACTGTGCCAACAGTCGAACGGGCGTGACCGGGGTATAGCCGCCTGTACTGAGCGAGTGAATTCACTCGCACGAGTGAACACTGTGACCAGCCCGATCGCATGTCCTTTGTCCTTCCCTACCTCATCTGCATTATTCAGTCGTGTTCGCGGAGCCACGAGACAGAACCTCCATTCCGATAGAAAACGTTAGGGCAATAGGCTATCCTAAGCAATAGGCATTAGGCTATCAAATAGGCTACCTCCAATGGCTGACTGATGGATGAAAGAGTCGAAGCCCGAGCTAAGCTGAGCTTGAGCGTAGGTCCCTAGCAAACCGTACGATCGGTTATTCCAGGAAACGGGAGAATTTAGATGCCAAGTTTAACGTGGGTACTGGGTACCTATCAAAATAGAACCCTCCCACTCCCCCCTCTTCCCCCACTCAACTGACTCCAACTGGCTGCGGCTGCTCCCCCAACCACAGACAATGCCTGTCAGGTCTCACAATATCGAGCGCTGGAGCGACTCGGACCCGGACTCTAACCACAGGGAGTCCAATGCTCCAACAACTGAGCTACAAGGCCCATAGGGATTACCTAACTGTTAAACTATTCGAAGGGCAACTTTTCTTTACATCACCTGGATACAAAAACAAGAATTCTTGAAAGTATCCTAACCAAAGTGCGAGTCAATAGGTGATTGCAGCCTTCCAGGATTCTAGGTGCTACAAAACGACAGCAACTTTGTTTAGAAACAATGCTTACAAATTCTCTTTGAAGGCGGCCATATCTTCGGGGCTATTTCACTCATAAATGTTTCCATGGTAATTGCAGGATGGTACTTCGCTACTTTGTCCACTCGAAAATACTCGTCGAACGGTACCTGAATCTGAAAAAGAAAATAACATCATTAGCTTTTCACACAAAACTGAGCTCAATGTTTTTTAATGCAATGCATTGTATTATCATCATAAAGGATAACATCAATTTCAAAAAGTGTCCGCTCATAAATAATGCCTATCGTTTACGAGCACTGGGCAGTACTCTTGCCTTTATAGTGCGAGCCGTCCACGCAGGAATTTTTTATGGAAAATGTGGCAAAGATGTTACAAAGATGAGTCGAGTAGGAATGAAAACCAATAAAAACGAATTACCCAGCTTATGAATGGAGTATTGTGAATGAAATGTGAATCTAAGAACCGATGAATATTAAGGTACCCTGGCTCGTATTGGTGTTTTTACAGCCGAGAACGTATAAGGGGGGAGGGGTCCATGGGACCCCCTTGCCGTTTCGCCCCTGATCGAGCTAGAGCTTCGCGAAAAAAAAAAAACGAGCGTGTTGCCCGTGACGATGATACCCAATTTTAAGGTCCTAGGTCATTGGTTGACCTTCCAGGTCATGTCAATGACCCAAAAGTCAGGAAAATCGGGACCCGTTAGAACGTCGTAAAGGATAGTTGCTATGGGTTTTTTCGGGGCGTTAATCACGAATATCATGTTAGTTTTAATCACAGATATCTTTATGCATTTACGCCAGGTCGGGTCAGGTCAGGTCAGGTCAGGTCAACCAGTAGAGGTCCTGCCGAGCATTTGTAGTAGGTGTCAACCGCCTCTGACAGCTTCGTAACATGTTACGAAGGCACCAAAACTACTTCGTTAATGTTAATATGGTTGCTTAATTCGAATTCAGCTAAAAAAACTAGCCTAGAAACATGTAAAAAAGTGAACCGAGGTCATCAAAGGTCAATGACCTGACCTGACCTTCAGGTGACCTTGACACCCAACCTTATGCGTGGGAACAACATCATATCATGTTTGAACGCTTGAAACCACGAAAAGGCTGCAAACGCGCGGCTAATGCGAGCCGACATACGCCAAATCGCAATTCCGGCCAAACATGGTCTCGAAAAGTAGGTTACAGGTCAAAGGTCATTTGAGTCAGGGTCATGCAATTTTCAGGGTAGGTGTGAAATTGATTAACGCGAGTGTACTGAAAGTTTCGTCGCGATCGGCCGCTTTTTATGCGAGTTATTCGCAAAAAAAACGAGGGGGACCGTTCGACTCCCCTCCCCCCTATACGGAGTACGGACCAGGGTTAAGATTTGTATTTATGATTAGTGGTTGATTTAAGATTTATGAGACCTACTATCTAAGGGTCATTAAAAAAGTTCGATGACCAAAAAGCTACATAAGCGAGACTAGATTATAGCAAGACCAGCTATGAATGTGGTCAAAAGTATCGGCTGGCAAAGGGGCATTTGTTCAGAATACGTGTTTGTTATTAAATGATCCATATTCCTTATTCCATATGCCTGCATGAGACCAAACATAGCACGAAAAACGATAGCAGAAGTCTTGACAAAAAAAAATCAATACCCACCGACTTCGGCTGACGCATGTGATATTCCACCCACGGTGCCAGCACTAGTGTCCTGTTGAGCTCCTTAGCGAAACTAAGGGTGCCCAAGAAGTAGTCCATTTGGTTTCCAAATCGACCTGCAAACAAAAGTACACTTATGGCCATCAGCTTTTCCTGCATTAGTGACCAATAAACAGCACATACATATTCCATGAGTGCCGCAAAAGCGGCAGCACTCAGGTCAGCAGCTGCCTCCCCGCATTGACCTGAATTGGCATGATCTTCCACCATGCACTGCTGGTACATACCACTGTGCACTGGAACACTCCGTGCTCCTTGGCCGGCTCTGGTGGTGGCTCCAGAAGTACTGACGAATGTGTGATAAACATCTAACATTTAGCACAGACGTGTAGCACATCCATTACACGACACTGTATGCTATTTACAAAGGGGCTCTGCCACACCCTCATGATTGGGGGTCCGACCCCATAAATGCACCACGTTATACGTCATCCGGCAGGCATTACGGAAGCGAAATAATCGGGGGAAGGGGGACCGGAGTCGGACCCCCGCGACCCCCGGTGGCGCAGCCCCTGTGTTTACGTGCCAGAGCAGCAGCTGAACACTCACCCATACAGGGACAGAACAAGATGTAGCCACGCTCGTCCACTTCATTGGCAGCCGATTCCTCACTTGTAGATGAAGCAATCAACAAACACAAAGTGCTCAAGAACAGGGCGGTCTGCCTCATTATTGATTCAGAATGAACGTTATACAGTAGACAATCTGAAACCATAAGAAAGTTATGGAAGACAATCATCGAACTGGGCGATAGTCCACCACTTGATGGTGACGCTCTATGCTATGACACGATAGCGATGGTGTGTTATGAATGGGCTGTTTGCCCATAACCATCACTGGTGTCAAGAGCGCCCAGTGGCGGATCCAGGGGGGGGGGGCAAAATGGGCATTTGCCCCCCCCCAAACGGCATAATTTTAACATTACGCCTATGGACGATGCATGGAAAGAATCGATAAATTGTTATGGTTTGCCCCCCCCCCCAAAAAAAAACTCTGAGCTGGATCCGCCTCTGAGAGCGCCACTTCCCCAATTGTTACTAGTAGGACTCTAATGATTAATTTTGGGATAGCAAAACCATCCTTACCATGCAGCGCCATAGAGCTAATGTTGAAATTATCAAACAATGGGTATGTCTCAGGCCCTACCAGCCCCATAAAAACCCACCCTATCGACGTCAATTGACTCTGTCCATTAACGTGCAATGGTGAAAAGCCAATGCTCTGTGTACTTACTGCGAATACATTCCTTTTTTTCTTTCTTTCCTGATAAATTTTGTCCGAATGGATGAATGGGTGGTTTTGGGCCCGGGTGCCGTCCGCTGAGCGGTGCTCGCAGCGAATGACGCCATGGACCCCCCCCCCCCCCCACCACCACCACCACCAACCTCGCCCGCGCCCGGCTCACTGGTTATAATTTGAATCGGAAGTTTACGTACCGCAGGTAAATGGCAGAACGGTCCTCATGGGCCCAGTGTGACCCTCTCGCCAGTTGCCAGCTAGCTTATCATAGGAACGCGGGTCAATTGACGTCCTCCGTTCCGTCATTTCCGTCCTCCGTTCCGTCATTTCCGTCCTCAGGGTAGCAAAATCCTAAATCCTTCTCCTCCATGCTTCCACCCTCCTGCTCCGGGCTGGACCGGAAATGTTATCCCATGCGGGTAGCTCCCCCGGGAGCAGGCCCATGGATGGATGCGGTGCCTGTCAGGGGGCTGGGTCGCCTGTCCTCGTGATGGGCTCAGCCTCGATGAGCCACCAGGACTTATATCACCAGGACTTTTACATTCCTTAAAAAGGAATGTAAAGGAATGTACCTAGAGGTCTCAAAACTTGCACATACATATATCTCATTTAGAATATTTGCTCGATGTAGAATATTTGCTTTTGTGTTGTCATCGAAAGTGAATAAATATCACCGAAGCATGCTGTGATGTCACTGGAAGAGAAGATAACGTACCACGCTATCAGTATCGACTGAGACACAGACTCAGACCGACACAGGCAGACTCAAACTGACTCGACCGACCCAAACCGATTCAGATCGACTCAGACCGACTCAGAACGACTCAAACTGACTCAGACCGACTCACCGACTCCATTCTGCTCGACTCGGACAGACTCAGAACGACTCAGGCAGACTCAAACCGACTCAGGCAGACTCAAGCTGACTCGACCGACCCAAACCGATTCAAATCGACTCAGACCGACTCAGAACGACTCAAACTGACTCAGACCGACTCACCGACTCCATTCTGCTCGACTCGGACAGACTCAGAACGACTCAGGCAGACTCAAACCGACTCAGGCAGACTCAAGCTCACTCGACCGACTCAAACCGATTCAGATCGACTCAGACCGACTCAAACTAACTCAGACCGACTCAACGGACTCAAATCGATTCCGATCGACTCAGACTGACTCAGAACGACTCAGAGAGACTCAGGCAGACTCAAACCGACTCAGACCGATTCAGATAGACTCAGACTGACTCAGACCGACTCAACCGACTCAAATCGATTCCGATCGACTCAGACAGACTCAAACTGACTCGACCGACTCAAACCGATTCAGATCGACTCAGACCGCCTCAGATAGACTCAGAACGACTCAAACTGACTCAGATCGACTTAACCGACTCAAATCGATTCCGATCGACTCAGACAGACTCGGAACGACTTAAACAGACTCAGGCAGACTCAAACTGACTCGACCGACTCAAACCGATTCAGATCGACTCAGACTGACTCAGCTAGACTCAGAACAACTCAAAATGACTCAGACCGAATCAACCGACTCAAATCGAACCGACTCAAACCGATTTAGACCGACTCAGACAGACCCGATTTGACCTGAATCATCAGACCTGAATCGGTTTGAGTTGGTCGAGTCAGTTTGAGTGTGCCTGAGCCGGTTTGAGTCTGCCTGAATTTGTCTAAGTCGTTCTGAGTCTGTCCGAGTCGATCGGAATCGACTTGAGTCAGTTGAGTTGGTTTGAGTCAGCTTGAGTCGTTCTGAGTCTATCTGAGTGGGTCTGAGTCTGCCTGAGTCGGTTTGAATCTGCCTGAGTCGGTTTGAGTCTGCCTGAGTCTGTCTGAGTCGTTCTGAGTCTGTCTGAATCAATGGAATGATTTCATTCGGTTGAATTGTTCTGGGTCAGTTTGAGTTGTTCTGAGTCTATCTGAGTTGTTCTGAGTCTATCTGAGTTGTTCTGAGTCTATCTGAGTTGGTCTGAGTCGATCTGAATCGGTCTGAGTCTGTCTGAGTCAATCGGAATCGATTTGAGTCGATTGATTTGAGTCAGTTGAGTTGGTCTGAGTTAGTTTGAGTCAGTCTGAGACTCTGAGTCGATCTGAATCAGTTTGAGCCTGTCGAGTCAGTTTGAGTCTGCCTAAGTCGGTTTGAGTCTGCCTGAGTCATTCTTTACGTTCTCTTCTCTTACCCAGTGACGTCACAGCATGCTTCGGCCTGGCACGGCGGCCTAATACAGGAAACCTTAACCTTGAACGAAAACGCTTCTGGTGACGCCAGGGTTACTGATACTGATTTATGCATATTTTTCAAATTTCAAGCAAAAACACCTACAGGTGAATGTTCTAAGTTTAATTTTGTAAGATCATTTAAAAACATCAATTGACCCACAATGACAATTGAATTGGCTTACATTCAGCGAGCATTAATATTGGAACACTTAAAACACACATAGAAATAAGCGACAGAGACAGAGGTCCGACAATATTCCTAAAATATTCCAGACATTTGCATTTGCCTGTGTAAAACCAATTGACCGTTGAAGAAAAAGCCGGCGCTTTGCAACAACTTGCAATAACAGCCTATGAGCCGCGCCGCTTTACTATCAAACGCTGTTCGGCTGCTATTGTCTACTGTCAGTCTGCTATCATTTGACGACTTTTCATTGGCAAACTTCACGCGGCCTAAGCTGATCGCCAATGAGCGGCCGAAATACGTCAGCTAGCAGTATGCATAAACGGCAGACTGACAATGAAATAAACAGATTGCAGCAAGCATTTTCATGAGATCATATATTTGTTGGCTTATCATAAAATTACGTCATAAGGATTATTGAATTTCACTCATAAATTTAAATCCTTTTTAAGGTTGTATTTATTCTAAGGTTACCAAAGTTGACTTAGCGTAATTTCACCTTCATTGCCTTCATGCCTTATCACGCATTGCTTTTAACGACGCAACAAATTCATGTCTTTAGGCATTTTATTATTAATGACGTCATTTACATCCAGCTGAGCGCTTAAAGAAAAGTAATTGGAAATAATGAATGAAAGATAAACAGAGTCGGCATTCGTGGCATAAATTGAGACGAAAACAGCGAGGTAGGTTGGATTGAGTTATGTGGCGTTTGGGAAGGGCTCTCGCTGATTTTTGCTTACCTAACTCAATTTTTACCATCGAGAAATGTTACCAATGGAATGCTCTCTCGATTGATGTGTAAATTTCGTAGTATTCTCTAGATATATTTTCAGGGTTCTAGATCTTCGTTTTTTCAGTATTTTGGCGCAATATCAGCATATGATATATGATATATTATGTCGTCACGGACGTTCGTTCGATGCATGTTTTTCTATCGATGAGGGAGGGATTACTGGGCATGATAACTGCAGCAGGATGACTCGACCTGTCCCAGCAGGACACCATGGGACTTAGCCTGTCCCGGCGGGACAAAGTGGGACTCAGCCAGCAAATTTTGACCCTTGATGACCTCCAGTGACCCCAATATTGCTCTTAGATGAAAAATGACTGAAATACTTTCAAAAGTACGCATCGAGAGCTATCGGCTGCTTTTTACCACGTCTTTCTAGCCCTCTTAGTTTTTGAGTTAGAGGTGGGTGGTAACATATGCCCCCCCCCCCCCCACTAGGGCGAAGTTGGCTGAGACCGCCACTGGGGCGCGGGTTAACGTCCCAAATCCAAAAATGATGTCCATTAGTGCAGCAAACCCTGCCCCTACCGCTACCCCTACAGCCTACCCCTACCACTACACCTACCCCTATCCCTACCCTTACCACTACATCTACCCCGTCCCTCACCCTTACCCCTACCCCTACCCCTACCCCTACCCCTACGTCTACCCCCGTCCCCCACCCCTACCCGTACCCCTATCCCTACCCCTACCTAACACCTAACACCTACCTCTGGTAGAAGTTCAGGCTAGGTTGGGTTAGGAGACCTTCGATGGATTTTCATGATATTTGCTGCAATCATGAGCATCATTTTTAGATTCAGGACATTGAGAAACATGGAACGCAAGAAAATTTACCCTGAAAAACCATGTGGAGCTGGACCTCGGTGTCACTAATACCAAACTTCAAGCTGATTATTCACCTGCCAAGGGTGCCAAAATGTATGGCTGGAGCAGCCGCTGCAACCTCTGCCTCCCTCCCGTCCCCTCCCCTCGCCCTGATCATGGAATTCAGATGTTTTGCATTGAGGGTGTTTGCTATGCGTTTTACTTGTGGTATGCATATGCAATTGCACTCCATGTTAGAATGTGAGCTGTCATTCTTCCAAGTGGAGTTGATGTGAAGCTGACGTAGCGTGTTTTACTTTCAGGCTCCCAGCAAGAAGACCTGACCAGCATGAAAGAAGTCGCTGAACATTTTTTTGAAGGGGTCGAGAAACTTCTCGAAGTATGGGTCGGCCCATATGATCACAGAAATCAGAAGAGTGACCTCAGGAACATTCCCAGGTAATTTTGAATAATATCGATGATTTTCCATTCCTCCTAGCAGGGCTGCGGAGTCGGAGTCGGAGTCGGAGTCGGAGTCGGTCGGAGTCGACAGTTGTGACCGGAGTCGGAGTCGGAGTCGGAGTCGATATTGGAAACCCCAGCCGGAGTCGGAGTCAGAGTCACCGAAAATCTGTCGACTCCGCAGCCCTGCCAGGTGTGCGGAGTCGGAGTCGGGAGTTGGAGTCGATCGGAGTCGACATTTCTGCCCGGAGTCGGAGTCGGAGTCGGAGTTGGTTTTTGAAAGCCGGAGTCGGAGTCGGAGTCGGAGTCGCCGTAAATCCATCGACTCCGCAGCCCTGCCTCCTAGTGTGTCGGGGTTTTATCTGAACCTCAGCATGGTAATGCGATCGTCCGCTTAGAGCACACGTTACCAGACCGTTTCACGGGAGTTTTGAATGGAACACATTCGGACTTCGACCCCTTCGACCTATCCGTTGCTGGAAGGCGTTGGATGGAAGTGGCGGGGTTAGAGACGTCGACTAACCCCAATAGATATTGACTTCCATTGGCGTGCTAATGATACTCTTCGTTCTCTTCGCCGATATTATACACACATTTGAATGGAGCATTTAATGAAGCAGTCGATCTTGCCTTTACTTTGCCTGTCATTTATGCAGGAAGTTTGAGACACGACGGCCTCCACCATTGCACTCAGGAGGCACTAAAACAGTCAATTCTTACCTACCTATCGAGAGGCACCTGAAACAGTCGGTTCTCCTCACCACTCAGAGGGCACTGAAACAGGCAGTTTCTTACCGCTCAGTAATATATGGTACTGAACTAGGCCGTTGTAAACAATTTGCTAAGACCTATGTTGTTGCTGGATTTTTGAACGAGGCCGAAGGCCGAGGTAAAAACTTAACCCGCGCCCCGCTGGGGTCTGCCGAGCAGCGCGCCCTGCTGGGGGGGGGGGGGCAATTTGCCCCCCCCTAAGATCTCGTGAACCACGCAACATAGCGACAAGCGGAAGACGGTGTTGGATATCCCCAACAAGGAACTACCTTGTGACCCAATTTCATTGACCTAGGTCAAACCGATGACGTCACAGGTTAGGTCAAATGTCGAATTTTCGCCGTTTACAGGCATTTCAAGAAATGCGTTGTGAAATCGAGTAAAATGCATTTCATTGAAAATCATCGACGGGGAAATGTTCGCAAACACATATTATGCTATTTGAGGTCACTGATACCAGGTCAGGTCACAGGTCAGGTCACTGAGGGTCACAATATGAAAATATCATGTGATGCATGTTTTATGGTCCATTTTATATACCAAATACGATTATGTGGGTCAGGCAGGCTTTGGGGTCAGTTTAGATTATGTTCCGGTGAAGGTCAGGTCAAGGTCAGGTCAAATTAGGTCAAGTTTCAAAGTTGATATTTTTGCATAAAATGGGTATCGATTCGATGCAGCTCGTCACGGGGAGTTCAATGGTGGTTTTTGTTTTGCGCTACGTGGTCTAGAATTGCTAAAAAATTGAGTTAAAATATGACGTCATCAATTTTGAACAGTTTTTTTCGCTATAACTTGGCCCAAAAAAGGAGGTGTCGATCTAAAATTTGGTTTGTAAATAGATGAGCGCAGGGACTATCACGTTTTTTCCGTTTTTTTCGAAATTCGGAAAAAATTTTGGCATTATTTTTGTGTTATTCTGATTTTTTTTTGAATTTTTGGGGGTCAAAATCCCAAAATTTTGAAAATGCGAGATAGCAGTTTTTGTAGCGCTGTCTTTTGTCTACATGACTATCTAAAGAACTTGGAAATTGTTTGGTAACTGTAGCTTTTGTGAGCGCTTCAAGATTTCATGTTTTTTGCTCATTTTTTGCTCGAAAATGACCCCAGTTTAACCTCAAAAATTCCTGACCTAAGGTGACCTAAGACTTGAAATTTTGTGTGAAGGTGTCAAATTGATGTCCGGGAAGGTACTGAAAATTTGGCGGCGCTGCGCGCCGCCGTTTTCTTGGTATTCAGGAAAAACCACAGGGGGGGGGGGGCAAATTGGCCCCCCAGCGGGGCGAGGGTTGATAAAGAATAAAGTCTTGATAATTTATCAACGGCCGATTTAGGTATGTGTTTTACTTTATGCCAACGTTTTCGGATTATATAGCATAATATAGCATTAACTTTCTAGACCAAAGCTCTCAGCCGGCCTTTTGAACGAGGCCATCCCAAAATATTGGCTGGAGTGCAAACTGGTGTAACATTTTGACCGTGGTCAATTTGCTTACACCAGTTTGCATCACGCCTCTCCGGCTAATGTATTTGAATAGGCCAGGCATACAGTAATGGCATGAGGCTTGAATATTCTCGAAAACAAAATGTTACACTTCACATTCCAGTTGCAGTCACACATCTCATAAACGCCTCGATTCACCTCGCAAACATACGTAGGTAACATAAACACACCGCCCTGATAAACACACTGGCCACGGGTGTTTACAGTGTCTGTGGGCGGCGACCATGTGCTCAACTGAACTGCCGGCCACGCTGGTAACGGGGGGCGCTGGTAACGGGGGGTGCTGGTAACGGGGGTGCTGGTAACGGGGCCGGCCGCGCTGGTAACAGGGGCGCTGGTAACGGGGCCGGCCGCGCTGGTAAGGGGAGGGAGGGGGCTGGTAACGGGGCCGGCCGCACTGGTAACGGGGGCGCTGGTTACGGGGCCGGCCCCGCTGGTAACGGGGGGCGCTGGTAACGGGGGTGCTGGTAACGGGGCCGGCCCTGCTGGTAACGGGGGCGCTGGTAACGGGGCCGGCCGCGCTGGTAACGGGGCCGGCCACGCTGGTAACGGGAGAGGGGGCGCTGGTAACGGGGCCGGCCGCGCTGGTAACGGGGGCGCTGGTAACGGGGCCGGCCGCGCTGGTAAGGGGGAGGCCGGGGCGCTGATAGCGGGGCCGGCCCCTCTGGTAACGGGGCCGGCCGCGCTGGTAAGTGGCTGGTCACGCTGGTAAGGGGAGGGGGGCGCTGGTAACTGGGCTGGCCGCGCTGGTAACGGGGCCGGCCGCGCTGGTAAGGGGGGGGGGGGGGGCGCTGGTAACGGGGCCGCCCGCGCTGGTAAGGGGGAGGGGGTGCTGGTAACGGGGCCGGTCCCGCTGGTAACGGGGCCGGCCACGCTGGTAACAGGGGGCGCTGGTTACGGGGCCGGCCGCGCTGGTAACGGGGCTGAACCCGCTCTGCGGCAGTTTCTAGCGCTTCTCGTCGTTTTACGGCAGTGTCCTTATATTATGCTAGTCGCCATTGCCTTGTATTGGATGATGGGCTTACTAAATGGCAATGCTGCGTTTCGGATGCGTGCTGTAGTGTGTGCCGGGATTGTGTTGCCCGTTGAGCTGTGACTGACGCCTCCGGCGGCCGCTGCAGGGAGGCGCTCGATGAGCTGATGGAGGATGCCAAGTGCGAGATCATCAGCACCCGCTCCAGCAGCCTCGTGGACGCCTACGTTCTCAGGTGGGTGCGCTCGTCTGACAAACGGGCCAATTGGTCGGAAATAGCCGGGATGTGCAAAGACCCGCCGCTCTTTGAGATATGAAAACGGGTGGGGATAGCAGCAGCACTTGCATCAATGGGCTCTAAACACAAGACACGACCTCAATTCTGACCCAACAAGACTGCCCTCAGACATTGTCGTCTGGCGATGTTCCTGACGATGTCGTCAGTTTTGCGGGCCTAGCGTTGTGTGGTGGCCCGCCAGAGGTGATGTTTGGCTCGTCCGGTGCGATGCTGGCCCCACTGTGCAGAGGGTGGGTGATTCTCCGGCCATGCTGTGAGACTACCCCCCGGCGCCTCGTGCGCCGCCGAGCGACACGGAGCAGGCTGCTCAGGAGTCAGTGTGGGGTCCACCCAGTCCGGCTCCAGCCGCGAGTGGAGACGAGTGGACCGTCGTCCAGCGCCGACAGGGTGGTCGGCGCCCCCCGGCGCAGGGTAAGGCGCCACTCACCCCGCCCCGCCCCCGACCGTCTACGGCGGTGCAGGAGGCTCTGCGGCGGGGGGAGGAGGAGAGGAGGGCACGTGAGGCGAGGAGGGCTCGCCTCGTCCAGAAGGCCCTCGAGGCTCCTCGAGGCTAAGGAAGCCTCGTCTGCCGACTCCGCCTCCGGGAGTGCCAACGCGGCCGCCGCCGCTGACACCCCGGAGACACCTGAGGCGGGGACTCGGCCCATCATGGGTCCCCCGCCGCCTCCTCCACCTCCGCAGCGGCGGCCACCACCGCCGCTGCCAGAGACGCCTGTGTCGAGGACACAGGCCGCCGCCTCGACATCCCCGTCGGGGCGGCAACAGTCCTCCGCGGCTCCAGGGCGCCTCGCCAAGCGGCAGACGCCCCCGAGCTGGTCGCCCTCGGAGGGTGACGCCCCTCGGGCGAAAAAGCCCCAGCAGGGCTCGAGCCACGCCCGATCTGCCTCCGCTGAAGGGAGGCTTCACCGAGAGGGATCGGGGCACCCCCGCATCCGTTACGGGGGGAGCGCCTCTTCGGAGTTAGAGGACCTAGTCTAGTCTTTCAGTCTAGTCATTTCCTCTTTTATCCTTTTATCTTTTTCGCGCTATTGCGCTTTTTTACCATGTGCATTTCTCTCGGTGTTTTTTACCTTTTTTGTGGTCAGTCAGGTATCTGCGTGCGCCTTTGCCTCATGTTATACGCGCCCTTTTTGCGCCTTTTTAACCACGCCTTTTATTCTACAGTGGAACTATAGAGGCCTCCGGGCCAACTACCAGGACCTACAGTCTCTTATCCGTTGGCGCACACCCCTTGTTTTAGGTCTCCAGGAGACCAAGCTAGCGCCAAACGTTACCCTTGCCATCAAGGGTTACTCCGTTTTTAGAAGAGACTTAGACACCCCGACCATTGCCCATGGAGGTGTACTTTTGGCAGTGCACCACAGTGTGCCTGCGCGCCACATTTCGCTGCAGACCCCTCTGCAGGCAGTGGCCGCTAGAGTTGATTTCAACCACCGGGAGCTGACAGTCTGTTCTGTATACCTTCCACCAGGTATAGCGCTCCCGGTGGTTGAGCTTCATCGACTTATCGATGAGCTTCCACCTCCGGTCCTGGTAGTCGGCGATTTTAACGCCCATAGCCTGGCGTGGGGATGCGACACGACTGGCACACGTGGTCGACTTTTAGAATCTTTTATCCGCGATGAGGCGCTGTGTATTTTAAATACAGGACAGCGCACCCATTTTACAACACCTCCGGTCAAACATCGGCTCTGGACCTGAGCTTAGTCAGTCCGCGGCTAGCTCAGCTTTTTACCTGGTCCGTCCATGACGACCCACTCGGGAGCGACCACTTCCCAGTGTGGCTGGAGCACCAGGAGTCCCCAGTGTCGGGCAACCGTCCACCTAGGTGGAATGTTCGGAAAGCCGACTGGGGCGAATTCCAGGCCGCTGTAGAGGCCTCTGTTTTAGCCAGAGCCGACGCCTCTGTGATGTCTACAGAGGATTTTACATGTTTACTCAATGACTCCGCAAACGGGTGCATACCCAAGACGTCGAGTCGGCCTCGTCGTCCTCCGGTCCCGTGGTGGACCAAGGAATGCGGAGATGCGATTCGTGCCAGGAAACGCGCTTTTAGAAAGTTTGACCGGAGTAGTACTACTGAGAACCTCATCGCTTTTAAGAGAGCGCGGGCTTTTGCCCGACGCGTTTTAAAGGAGGCAAAGGCTGTTTCATGGCGCACTTATGTGAGTTCCTTAAACCGTTTTACCCCTACGACCCAAATATGGGCACGCATGAAGCGCATTGAAGGCCGGTTCAGCTCTGTTCCGCTTCCGGTTTTAAGAGTGAACAACACGGACATATCTCACCCTTCAGACGTCGCAGAGACGATAGGTCGTGCACTCTATCAGCGCTGCCGAGGAGAGCCGTCCTCACGACCTGCACCAGCCGCCGTGGACTTCAGCACAGCTGAAAATTTGGTGTACAACGAGCCTTTCTCTATGGCTGAGCTCACGTCTGCCATCAGCTCGTTGCGCAGCGTCTCAGAAGGTCCGGATGCTGTCCACAACGACATGCTCCGTCATCTCCCAGCAGTTGCCCTCGAGGCGCTGCTAGCAACCTTCAATTCGCTTTGGGAGACTGGCACTTTCCCTGAGACCTGGCGGGAAGCCACTATCATTCCTATCTTGAAGGCTGGCAAGTCGGGACATGACCCTCTCCATTATCGGCCCATCTCTCTCACATCATCGCTATCAAAGCTGATGGAGAAGATGGTCAATGTGCGTTTTAGCTGGTTTCTGGAACATCATGGTGTTTTTACAAACGCCCAGTGCGGTTTTAGAAAGCACCGCAGCCCTGTTGACCACATTTTAGCCCTTGACACCGAAATACGCACCTGTTTTACTGAAAAGAAGCACCTTGGAGCACTGTGAGGCGGCCTATGATACAGTCTTACGACACAGCATACTTTCCAAAGTATATAAGTACGGCATACGCGGCCGGATGGGCCTCTTTATCGAGAACTTTTTATCGGGTCGTCGGTTTAAAGTCCGAGTTGGTAACCAGTTGTCTAGCAGTTTTATCCAAGAGAATGGAGTCCCTCAGGGAGGGGTGCTTAGTGTGGCGTTACTCGCAGTGGCGATTAACGATATCGCCGATGATCTCCCGGTCTCTATCGGCAGATCGCTTTTTGTTGACGATTTTTCCATCTGGTTCGCCGCTTCCAGCGCTCGGCACATGGCCAGACAACTGCAGCTTGCAGTCAGACGGCTTGAGAGATGGAGCCGCGACAATGGTCTCCGCTTTTCAACGAGGAAGACCGTTGCCATGCATTTCTGTCGCCGCCGCTGCGCTGACCCTACATTGGGTATCCGTCTGTACGGACAGACGATCCCCACGCAGCCGGTGGCGAAGTTTCTTGGTATGACGTTTGACGGACGTTTGACGTATAAAGAACATTTTAGAACGCTTCGGGAACGATGTTTTAAATCCCTGAACGTTTTAAAGTGTGTTGCCCGCACATCATACGGTGCGGATCGCAAAACTCTGCTCCTCTTGTACCGGTCGATCATCCGATCGAAGCTGGACTATGCGTGTTTTGTTTACGATTCTGCAAGTGAGTCCAGCAAGAAGTCCCTGGACGCAGTACATCACGCTGCGCTCCGCGTTGCCACCGGGGCTTTCCGCACTTCTCCAAAGAGTAGTCTTCTGGCTGAAACGAATGAGCCACCTCTAGCTCTTCGTCGCCAGATGCTGGGGATGCGTTACACTTTGAAACTTCGCCAATACCCAACGCATCCGACGTACCCGTACGTCTTTTCACGTCACGCTACTCGATCTGACGGGAGGGTACGACCGTCGTTTGGAGAACGCATGGGAGGTCTTTTTTCAGCTGCTAGCATATCCTTGCGTGGCGTCCGGCGTACCTGGGACACGCCCCCTCCACCCTGGAAAAACGCCAATCCGCAAGTGGACCTCTCACTATCGACTGTTAAGAAGGACAACTTGTTGCCTGCTGAGGCGCGAGCCAGAGCCTTAGAGCACATTGCCGTTTATGATGGTTTTATCACGGTTTATACAGACGGCTCGAAGACAACCGAGGGAGTGGGCTGCTCTTTTGTCGCTGGTCGTGACACCCGCTCGTTTTCTCTGCCACCTTCCGCCTCGGTGTTTTCTTCAGAGCTAGTCGCTATAGAGGAGGCTTTGTGTTTCATCGAGGTTTCTGGTAGTCCCTTTTACTTGATTTTATCTGACTCTCTTAGCAGCTTATTGGCCTTACGTACTTTTAACTCAGTTGACCCCATCGTGCGGGACATTTTGACTCGGCTTACGTCGGTGGAGCAATCTGGAAAATCAGTCCGTTTCTGCTGGATTCCCAGTCACGTCGGCATTGAAGGCAATGAGCTTGCTGATGCTGCTGCCAGACGCGCCGCCGCAGCACCCTGCACTCGGCGCTTGCCTCTGCCTGCCCGGGATTTGTATCCGCTGGTGCGACCCTTCATGCTTTCAAAGTGGCAGGCAGAGTGGGATTTGTGTGTAAGGAACAAGCTGAGAGAGTTGAAACCAACTCTAGAGCCTTGGCAGTCTTGCCTGCAAGGCAATCGTTTCCAGGAAGTGGCCCTCTGCAGACTCCGTATTGGTCACACATACGCGACGCACAGCTATCTCCTTTCAGGAGGTGAGCAGCCTTTGTGCAACAGGTGTTCTGTGCCTCTAACCGTCGCTCACGTTCTTTTATCTTGCCCACTCTTTGAACGGAACCGGACACGCTACCTGGGCTGTATTGCTCCTGGTACCACTATCCGCCACCTACTGGGTGACGAGTCACCCTGGGTTTTATCCGGCAATATTTTTTCCTTTATCCGTTCGGTCAACTTCCAAGTGATTTACTCAACCTGACCCAATTCCTCTCTAGTCTACTTGTCTAGTCAGTTGACTGTTACGACGCTCGTGCGCTGTTCTATCTTACCTTGTCTTTTTTATCAAGTCTTTTACTTTCTAGCCTTGGTATATAGAAGGTCTCTTGTTTTGAAACACTTGTTTTATTAGTGTGACGTTATGGGCGCAAAATGACCTTCGCAGTCGGCGCGCCCTAAAGCCCCAATAAACAAACAAACAAATGCTGTGAGACTAATGGCTGTCTCATCTTCCGCAGTGAGAGCAGCATGTTCATATCGCGCTGCCGGTTCATCCTGAAAACGTGCGGCACTACAACGCCGCTCAAATGTATCCCTCGCCTCCTGGGCCTGGTCAAGCAGCATACCGGCTTCACGCAGGTGGAGGTAAGTCATATCGAATCACCTTTTTTACTAATGAATGTTGCCCGGTGCATTCGTTAAGTGTTGGGGGTGTCAAGGTCTTGTAACTATTAAACTGAGGTTCAAGCAATTTTTTCTAGAATACCGAAACCAACTTTTCTCAAACGATTCTAAAAAAGCAATATCAGCAGGGCGGAAGAAGGCTCTGTCCCCGCCCGCTCGCTAGCTCGCAGGCTTCCCGGCCCCTGCCCCGTCCACCCTTATCCTTTCGTATGGTCTGCTCCATACAACGGTTCGGAGCTATGGGAGCGGGACGCCTTTTTCCGACACGGCTCATGGTGACGCTGTCGTGTTCGTGGTGGGCCTCAGGACATTTTCTACTCGCGGAAGAATTTCCGCCAGCCGAGTCTGCAGGACGAGACGCACCGCAGCTTCACGGCCGAGGTGGAGGCTCTGGAGAACATGTTCCCCAGTGAGTAGCGCGCGGCCGCTTCGCGCCGCGGGCGGACTCGGGCCAGCTGGTGTAATTAAGGATCTACATACTTTATTTACACTTGATAATGCTGTATTCATTTTTGTGACTTGCGTGGGTGATGAAGGCGGAAATTTCCTATGGGCAAGATTGAGGTATCGTCAGGGGCCCACAATATTGTACTGCGTCTGGCCAGCCAGTTTCAGTTGTACCAGCCCATATTCCGCCCAGCCCGTTGTTGATGGCCGCCCGCGGCGGGCTGTCGCCGCCGGCCGCGTGCCGTGTGCGCGGCGCTGACTGACCGCTGCCCGCGGCGGGCTGTCGCCGCCGACCGCGTGCCGTGTGTGCGGCGCTGACTGACGGCTGCCCGCGGTACGCCGCTCAGCCGGCCGCGTGCCGTGTGCGCGGCGCTGACTGACGGCTGCCCGCGGTACGCCGCTCAGCCGGCCGCGTGCCGTGTGCGCGGCGCTGACTGACCGCCCCCGCGGCGCGCCGCTCAGCCGGGCAGGCCTACTGCCTGGGCCGCCTGAACGGCGACTGCTGGTACCTGTTCGCGCTGGACCGTCCGTACGCGCTGCTGGGTGGCGGCCGGGTGGGCCCGCTGGCCACCCCGGCGCTGGCCGCGCCGCACCGCCACCAGCCGGACCAGACGCTGGAGGTGGTGATGACCGACCTGGAGCCAGAGGTGATGGCGCTCTTCCACCAGAGCCAGTGCGCCACCGCAGCTGAGGCCACCAAGGTACGAACTACACGGACACTGGCATCGACACCCTGACACTGACACACTGACATTGACACTGACACTAACGTTGGTATGCCTACATTAGCACAACTTCACTGACATTATTACGCAGACATTGTCACACGCTAGCCAATATTGCTATGTGTGTAGATGCGCATCTATGTTGTGTTAATGGAATGCGTGTTCATTATTGTTTAATGGCAAAATTTTTAGATTTACCGCCGTAGGCGTTCAAAGTTATCTTAAGGTGTATGTGTGTGTGTGTCATGTCGTTGGTTTCGCTCTGGCATCTGGTGGCGGTGGCCGCCGTGGTCTGGGTGTCCTCAACACCCAGACAGCGCCGCCACCCCGCTCCGTGTCGTTAGTTTCGCTCTGGCATCTGGCGGCGGTTGCCGCCGTGGTCTGGGTGTCCTCAACACGCAGACAGCGCCGCCACCAGTGTGTGCTCTGCCCCGCTCTGTTACATAAGGCGCTGATGTAACGCGCTCATATTCTGCCGCGTGCTCGGTTTGTGAGTCACGGGTGTGTGCGTCCTGTCCGGCTGACGCAGCTGTGAACCCTGGCCACTTACCGCTTGTCAGTTCCGGCCTTCTTCCGAAAAAAAACTGTGACTCTGCCACTTTCCAGCTGTGCGGTATATCCCGCCGTTTAAGACTTATGTATGTATTTAGGTGCTTCCACATGGTGGGTTTTCGAGCATTCACGTCAGTTAACATAAATACAGGTTTAAAATGCGTATGACAAGAGCAGGGCAAGATTTAAAACGCACATAAAAGACACGGCACATAAACGACAGGTACTACTTCGGTGGGCCTCATCTAGCCAACAGGTATGACCTCAAAGCGGCTTTGAAAGCGCCGCTGCTACCTGCGGCCGACGCTCGTAAGTCCGTGGGCAAATCGTTCCAGGCTCTACACGCACGAGGCCAGAAACAGCGGCGGCCAAACTCAGTGCGGACACGCGGCAGTTCCAGCAGTGTTTCCATGCTCGAGCGGGTGATGCGACAGGATACGTCAGAGCGACGAACAACTCGCTCACGCAGAGGCTCCGGTGCTCGATCGTCCATGAGGAGTGCTCGTACTAACAAGACATCATGTTCATAGATGGTCGTCAACTTTCAGCCATTTAAGCTCGTGTAACACCGGTGACACTCGCTCGCGGTAGCCAACGTTACTGACAATGCGCGCGGCAAAATTCAAAGCCTTCTGCACACGACGCCTCTGGGTAGCAGTGCAGCTTCCCCACACAGACAGACAGTACCGCACATGAGGGAATACAAAGGCTTCGATCAGCAGTCGCTTGGTTTCAGCGGGGAGACGGTACCTCATTCTGACGAATCCGATCAAAAAGCTGTAGCAGCGGCGCACAATGGCTGAAATGTGTGGCTCCCACGACAGACATGAGTCCACCGCGACACCCAGGATCTTGGCGCTGTGTGACGGTCTTATAAAGCTGCCATCGAAGTTGACCGAGAACTGCGCGTTGGTGGCGAGCCGCCGCGACTTAATGAGAACTAGCTCTGTTTTAATGGGGTTGATTTTGAGGCTGTTTTGAGAAAACCAATCTACAGCAATGGCCAAGTTTTGTTCAATGCGAGTCTGAAGATCTGAAGTGTTTTGAGGCAGGTCAGCGTCAAGAAACTGGGCATCGTCAGCGTATGTACATTATCAGTTTCCCGTGAGGAATACTTTGAGCCAAGTCGTTGGTAAACACCAAAAAAAGTACAGGGCCCAGAATTGAACCCTGGACCACGCCGTGCGTCACATTCAGAGTACTAGTCCCGCCACGCAGCGACTGTGTGCGACCCCGCAACCATGCGCCAAACCACTTATCGTCTATGCCATACCACCCTAGTTTATCTAACAGTCGGTCGTGCTCAACACTATCGAATGCCTTCGATGTGTCAGCGGTGACAAGCGACGTAACCAAGCCACGATCCATGTTATCAGACACGTACATGACGGCATCTAGCATAGCCGACTCAGTGCATTGGCCGGGACGGAAACCGAACTGCTGAGGACACAAGATATTGTGTGATAACAAATAGTCCATCAGCTGGTCACACACCACACGTTCGCATAGCTTGGTTACAGTAGGGAGAATAGATATTGGTCTGTAATTACATGGATCACTGGGGTCACCCTTCTTCAACAAAGGGATCACTGTTGCCGACTTCCATTGGGGCGGCACTTCACACGTTACGATGGAACTGTTTATAACGCGGAGTAAGTGGGGACCAACAACGGGAAACGTAGCTCTGAGGAGGCTAACCGTGATCCCATCTGCTCCACTAGCGCCCGAAGAGCTCATCCGCTGCAGCGCGGCCGACAGCTCTGGCAGCGTGGCCGGGCGCAGTGACAGCGCGCCGCTGCACACGCGCGGCGGCCGCGGCGGCAGGATCTCATTCTCACCGACGTATGACGCTGCCAGGGCCTGCGCCACGTCGGGGCCCACCGAGGCGAAGTGGTAGTTCAGCCTGTCCGCCCATTGGGGCTCTTGATCAGTCACGTTGTTGGTCCTTGGAGCAGGCTTCTTGGAGGCGATAAGGAACCTCTGAATATCCTTCCACGTTGTCGATCGCTGGTTTTTGAAAGAAGTCAAGAAGTAGGCAGAACAGGCACGGTTTAGCGCATTTTTGACTGCGTTCCGGCAGCGCCGATACTCCCGTTCTGTAGCTTCACAGGGAGTCCGGTCCTTATCAACACGTGCCTGGTCGCGCGCATCCATGGCATCTATGACGTCATCATCCTGTAGCCAGGGGTAGGAAGGATGCTTCATCTTGACTCTGTGAAGCGGCATGTGACGGTCGATGATGGGGCTCCAGATCGACAGCCAGGCGTCCCATTTATCTGTTGTTGACTCGGCCGCACTGACGTCCGCCCAGTCGGCCTGCAGCAGGTCCAGGCACAGAGCGTCACGGTTCAGGCGTCGAGTGGACCTGATGGTCACCTCCGCCGGCCGTGGTCGGAGTCCGGCGGCCGTCACGGTCATCTGAAGACATAAGATATCATATAACTGTACCAATAGGCAATATGTATGAAGCTACCGGTATTGGATCTCGGTGATGCTCGTTCACAGTGTCCGCCTATGTTGTGTGGTCCGGGGACATGTGTTCGTGCGGCGCTGGTGAGCTAATGTTTGTGTTTGTGCTGCAGCGCTCCGGCATCGACCAACTGCTGCCCGGAGTGCGGATCGATGACGTGCTGTTCGACCCGTGCGGGTACTCCATGAACGGCCTCCTGGACAACGTGAGTACCGAGTGCGCGCGCGCCGGGAGTGGTCGGTCGCCCACCGCCGGGCCGCCGCTCTCACAACTGCCCGGGGTCCGTAGCCAAAGGTGAACTCGTTGATATACATCGCTTCTCGGCCTTTTGGCCGATATCAAAGTGAACTCGATGATACTGGTCACTAAGGCAGGCATAGATGAGTGTTTACGGTGTATGTTGATGTTTCTGTTCATGTTTGAAAGTACCGGGTACCCCCTTCCCCCCCAAAAAAAAAACGTTCCGAGCTATGAAGCTCCAATGACAGTGTTACTTATGCCGTAGAAACTTGAGATTTTCGCGAGCAGCATGTAGTATTTCTGACATTGGTCGTACCAATTTTCAAACTTTTGGCTGTTCGTTCTTCTTTTATTGCACCTGAAGAAAACAAGTGATCAAATCGTGAATTCACAACATGTCACCAATCCATTTTTCCTCGATCAATTTTTCCTTGTTCGTAAACTAATGCGCATGGGATGGGATTGCTCCTCCTGTAACGGCGCTGGCCAGAGTTTGGTCAGCGCTTCCAGTACGGGATGCTTAGCATGATGCTGGCCGTAACCGACTTCCTTTACGGAGTTTCTATGATGGCCCTCAGAGTGTTAGCTTGCGTGCTGGTCAGTGCTCCCGCGAACAGCCAGGTTTTTCTGCTGCTGTTCCTGGGATATCCCATCCCTATCCCTATCCATCCCATCCCTATCCCTATCCCAGCTGTTCGCCTGGGATAGGAACCACTGGCTGCTGTAGTCTCTTCACTTCAATTGTTGAAGCGTGGACACCCTATACGTACTGTCCAGTTTAATCGAGACCACCTGTTGTAATTTTTAAATAAATGATAAATGCTCATTGATTGTTGGTTCGGTTTTAGTGCTGAAACTCCTATGCCAAACAAGCACTGCGCCAGGCTCTTTGTTACAATGGCATTCTCATGGTGCCTTTCATAAAGGTGCTGTATGAACGCTCCAGCTCTGAAGCGGCTAGTGCAAAAATTAAGATATCTATTTTGTTTGTGATAACTATGTAGATTAACCCGCGCCCTGCTGGGGGGGGGGGGGGTGTTTGAACACCCTTGTGGTTTTTCGCGAATATCTCAAAAACGGCGGCGCTCCCGCCGCCGTTTTTGGTACATCTTATCATACATCAATTCTACAAATGTTGTGAAAATTTCAGACCAAGGTCATTCAAGGTCAGGTCACCAGGTCACTTGAAGTGACCTCACCTCATAAAAAGTTTCAATGTCTGTCATAGCTACACCGAGTGACCGATCGCTTTGAAACTTTCAGCGATTGCTAAGAGCAATAGCATGTACAAAATGTATATCTCAGAATTTTGATATCGATGACCTAAGGTCAGGTCAATTTTGCGACCTCCCCATTATAAGTCAATGGGAGAAAATTGAAATGCGCCTCTTTTAGAAGAAAGACATTATGATTATAAACACTCCCAAACACCGAATTACAAGTGGTTTAGACACACTGAACATGAAAATGGTGTCCGTGACCCTTGTTTGTGCCCTGAGGTCATCTTAGGTCACGAATGGTATCTAACAGTTTGTCGCAAATAACTTTTGATAGAGGCACGCTAGAGCGATGAAAACGCCTTATATGTGTTCAGCTCGACGATACGGATCGACTGATATGCAACATGACCCTTTCCGGTTAGGTCATGACCTTGACCTGAGGGGGCGTTCCACGACAAATCGACAAATAAAAAATTAAATTTGCACCCTCATATTTTATTCTTCGTTGAAAACTGGTGTAAGGGGTTGTGATGGGCGGGGAAGCCAGCTGTGGCAAGGATTTTTTTCTTCGAACAACGGTTTCCGAGATTAGCCTCGGGCAATACCTGGAGTTCGCGCTGCAGCCCTATGTTTGGCGGCCTATAACTCAGAAACTATTGGTTTTTTACGATAAAAACTTTATATGGTTCAACTCACAATCAACCAAAAAACATTTTGGCTATCTCGGATTTTCAATTTTTGAAAATTTTGATCACGTGACCTTTTGTCCTATTTTTCGAAGAGTGACCTTGGTATTTTCCCCACTGAAAGTTGCAATTTTGTCTGATGGCGATTAAAGCCTTATCGATTGTCATTCATATGCGATAATAAAAAAGTGGTTATCGCCCTGCGTTGACCTCAGGTCAGGTCATTTTTATGACCTGTCCAGTGTCCATTATTATGAGCGGGACCGACAGCGAGATCTCGAGAATAAAGCAAGATAGCGACAAGCGGTAAACGGTTAAGGGTACACACGGATAAGGTCTATAACATTTACTAAGGTCATTTTCAGGTCAGGTCAAAGCTGACGTCACAGGAGCTAAAAGGAAGTCAAAATAGCGGCACTATACATATGTATGAAGTTTTTCTCGAATAACTTTCAAGGTATCCCAGCTAGGAACAAACTAATAGCACCATCGTGATCCTCTCGTCGATCCGCATCGAAACATATGTATGTTGACCTCGAAAGGTCGAAAGGTCAAAAGTTGACCTTAGATCACGTGACCTAAGGTCAACTTTTGACCTTTCGACCTTTCGAGGTCAACATACATATGTTTCGATGCGGATCGACGAGAGGATCACGATGGTGCTATTAGTTTGGTCCTAGCTGGGATACCTTGAAAGTTATTTAAAAAAAACTTCATATATATGTATAGTGCCGCTATGTTGACTTCCTTTTAGCTCCTGTGACGTCATCTTTGACCTGACCTGAAAATGACCTTAATAAAAGTTATAGACCTTATCCGTGTATACCCTTTACCGTCTACCGCTTGTCGCTATCTTGCTTTATTCTCGAGATCTCGCTGTCGCTCCCGCTCGTAATAGTGGACAGGTCATAAAAATGACCTGACCTGAGGTCAACGCAGGGCGATAACCACTTATTTTATTATCGCATATGAATGACAATTGATAAGGCTTTAATCGTCATCAGACAAAATTGCAACTTTCAGTGGGGAAAATATCAAGGTCACTCTTCGAAAAATAGGACAAAAGGTCACGTGATCAAAATTTTCAAAAATTGAAAATCCGAGATAGCCAAAATGTTTGTTGGTTGATTGTGAGTTGAAACTGTAGCAAGGGATTTAGAAGAAAGAATGAAGAAGGAATAAAAAAGCTGCATCTTCTTTGCGGTTCATCAAATACTGCGGTCCAATGTCGTTCGGCTGGTTGTAGCAGAAGAGAGAGGGAGCAAATTGCTGCTGGGAGATCCTGAGATAGCTATAGAGAGGGATCTTGATACAGATAGAGATCTTGAGATAGATGTCCCTTCTGGGAGAGATGACGTCCACCTGAGGGAGATGTAGATATAGATCCACCTTGCGTACAAATACATCTGATGGAAGATGCTTTTTAATTTAGAGGCTTGATGATTCTGTTCATTGTATAGACCATGATGCACGAGATGCTTCTTCACTGCTCGGATTAGGGATAGAGGGATCCGATCAGCTGGGTTTGTGTAGCACGCTACATCTTGAACATTTAACGTAGTATCTTTTCGGCACGGCTCGGTCCGGCAGTCCCTCTCCCTCGCAGTCCGGCCACACGCCTAGCTCGCTTTCCCACACCCAATTCCCCCCCCCCCCCAGTTCCCCTAATCTATCACTGTCCGCACAGAATGGGCAGCCGTTAAACTCCCATTAAGACGCGCGCTTTTGGAGACAGCTACCGCAGGATGAACGATTCGAACCCCAACAAGTAACAGCTGGATCAGTAACATTGTCAACAGCTCATGGACCCACGCCGAGGACAGATAACGGCTGGGAGCGCTGGATCAGTAAGATATGTCAACAGATCATGGAGCAGTGTCAAGGATGGATGCCGGCTGGAGCACACAGCCTCCTTTGTCGGGTACATCAGCCCAGGGTGAGTGACCCTGGCAAAACAACCGGGTGACCGACCTCACAATGGCCTCATGAGGTAGTTCCAGAGATCTCCGCAGAGGAAGAAGGCGCTGACTTACGGCCACACCCGGGCCAGTGGGCGGAGCAAGAGTGACGTCACAAGGGACGTTGCCGGCAGACGAAACGGAAGGAAACAAAAGTTTGAATAAAATGAAATTGAAGAATCAAAATTAAAACTCGAAAATCACAAACCTTTCGGGGATTGTTTTATGCCAGCGATTACTAAAATGATAAAGCACTCAACACGAAGACGATTCGACGGCCAAAAATTGCAGGCACAGAGGAGCAAGGTGACTAAACAGGACAGAGGGCGCCATCTTACGGCCCCACCCACCAGAAGAAGGCAGAGGAAGATGACGTCGCAAGGGCGTGGCAGTCACCCCTCCCCCCCCCAACTATAAAAGGGTGCGCCACCCAACCAGAGGCAGAATCACAGTCGAGCAGCCGAGAGTCACAGTCCACAGCTGGAGCCGGAGACGCCATCTGGGAGCCGCCGTCAGTCCGGGTCACCCGCGAGAAGCCTCTTCAGTTCGAGTGACCAGAGCCGGAGGACAACCGCCGACGCTTGAGACCACACTGAGAAGCGGAAGCGCAGAGAACTCCAGAATGTGAGTGTTGTTGAAAAGTCTGCTCAATCCCAATCCTTGCCCCCCCCCCCCCTCTGCCCAGCGTGCCGTGCCCGTGACGACTGCCAAACATTTTCGGTTACCATAAAATGCACTCTCAATTGGAATTGGAAAACTTAAATTACTTTGAACTTATTGGTCCAGACACCCTAGTAGCATGTTAGGATCTGAATTTCGAGGTCATGTCAGAGTCGCCAGCAAACCGTTATTGTCAGTGGGAGTTCACGATTAGGCCAAGAGCGAGATCCGAAAATTTACATAAGTAGCTCAGTGTCACGAACGCTGAAATTGATGACAGGATGCGTGACAACGTTGAAATGTCTTTGTCTTCGGTCAAGATGGTTCGTTCGATTTATTATGGGCGATGGCCAGGTGCGTTTTGAGGTTGGAACGTTTGTGAAATAAAGGGTTTAGATTCGTGCTGTACTCACTAAAAGTTGCATTGCGAAATCATTGGTA